ACCAACTCACTGTATCGTATCAATTACCAATACATGATGTAGAACAAGGTTGGGCTAGAGAAGGAACAATATATTTAATATGAATAGAAGATATAAGGTAACATTCGGTGAAGACCACGCCTACATGGACGAGCCATGCCATCCGATCAAACCCAGTCCATTCCGTTCATTGTTTGCGCCTTCCCCATTGCTAGGTATTTCTCCGCGTTAAATATTGAATATCTATTTCTGAGTAGTCTTGTGTTCACAGCTTTGTGGATTGTGTGGCTATTGTCCAATGCTACTACACACTCACGAGCCTTCTCCATTGAGCGTAATTTTGCTTCTACCTCTTCTATACGCTTCATCCCTCTGATTACCTGTCCACACCAGCGAGTGCACAAAATATACGCATTTAAAAATCCCTTCTCGTATTTGACTTATCTAAATCTGTTATTCACCAACGCGATCTAATTTGATAATTATAAACAAGGATTGACGATATGTATATCTCAATAGCAAACAGAAACGATCTCAATGGAGCCACATCTCGGGCCGCTAAAGTATAAACATCGTCGATGTTACTGACTATATAGTATAGTATCGGCTGAAAAAATGGACATGACAGGAATCCCTGGACCCGTGTTTCGTGCTGCTTGCCACTCGTCAGCAAGGAGTACCTGTAATCTTGAGGGAAGTGGTGCTCCATGGTGGATTCGATCCCGTTTCACCCAGCTTCACGGACAGAGACGTTACCACTGAGCTATCCGGGCCGCGACTGACCTTCTATAGGACTGAGATGTAATCACAATTGATTGATCACTGGGTGGTGATTAATGTCATGCTTGTCAAGTCCTTATTAGTGCAGATCGAATGCTATCGATCATGTTGCAATGTGGCCACCAGTCAAGGGCCTCGAAACTGCTTGCACTATACATTGAGATTAGATGGTGTTTGAAGGTAGTCGACAGGAAACTCTTCGTCCGGGCTTCATGCTAAACCCTAGCCCTTAACCCGGACCATGTCATCCGATCAATACGAATGAACCCTATTCATTCTTCCTACCTTCCCTATCGTTGGGTTTTTCTGCGCGTTAAATGTTGAACATCAATTTTTCCAGTTGTCTCGTGTTCAGCTTTGAGGATTGTGTGGTTGGGGCCCAACGCAACTACAGATGTTCTGATACCGCGAAATTGTGTATAAGTATGTCAATTATTCCACATTATTTTAAGCAAATACAATTTCAACAATAAATTAAAACTATGACGAAACGGCCGTCCAGTGCTTTAAGGTTTTCTATGGTGGTCAAGCTTCAGTTGACTCATTATTCCAACTAGTGAAATAAATTAAGTTTCCAGCAAAAGATTTCTTAATTTTTTCATTTTAACTGCTAGTATGATGCGTTGCATAACTACAACTAGCCATATTAATGCAGCAATTTTAATTTCTCTAAGGTACAGTTTACTTGTTTATCAATACAGCCCAATATTTATAACTTCGCGTTAATTTTCCTGACGTATTTCATCGTCTTATCCGGCAGTGATTGGACAGTAATAACTACTTTCTCAGCAACTTTCGATTAGTTATCTCTAAGACGTCAAAGCTGTTATGAATGCTGAGGAAAAATATACCAATAATTATCGTGTTAAGTCTATGGTGGCCTTGGACCTTAAATGTACATTTCCTATTGGTCGATGTTTATTTCACTTGTTAAATATTGTGTAAATATTGTTCTCTATTTTATGGTACGATGTGGTTTGTTTGGTTAGTATATAAAGAGAGTATGTCTGAAATACACTGATTCATAACTCAGAGGCTGTGACTTGTGTTCTTGACTCAACTGGCTAGGACAGACAGCGAAGCAGGGCCAATCAGGGCACTAGGTCGTCCACTACGTGTTCTCCGTGTAACTAATCGATCGATAACTAAATACGCTGCTCATCAAAAACCTGCAGTCCACCCGTTACAACAAAAGCCACGCATCATGGATAGAATATTTTCAGTGGTATAAGTTCCTAACCACATGACCTTCGAAGCTGAACATACGATTACTGGGAAGATTCACTTTTACCATGTTACAAAAGGAGAAGGTTAACAATGGTAGAAGCGGAAATATTCAATCAATCTGGTTGAGTGGCTCAACCTTGTATGAGTGATCATTCTTGTTATTTCTAGAGCTTAGATTTTTAATAATCTGCGTAGAACTTGAGCCTAAATGTGTTCCTCAAAAGCGCTGAATATCGTATTCGTAAATTTCACAATAGGATGAGTCAGTGTAGACAATGATGTGACTTCCATGTTAGATCTCATAGATTAGATGGTCACATCACGACAAATTTACAATTTTAGGATTAGATCAATGGTTACAGCAGTATTAATGACGAACTTGGTCATTATTCTACATGTTAACGTTCTCATTGTGAAATTCGGTGTAAATAATTGTTCTCAACTTATGATTTAGAGCTGGTGGTTTGGGTGCAAGATCCTTTTTGATTGCCTTCTTTGTGAAAATCCCTCCACGCATATAATCATGATTAACTCCTCTTGATTCTTTCGGATGTACATTTCGGTGATCTGCTCGATGCCGTTTGAATCGGTTACTTTTGTATTTTATTGTAGATTTTGCTTTCCTTACTGCTTCGCTGAGTTTTAACGTGTTTTGTAAACTACATTTATTTTGTTCTAGTTAACAGTTAGTTGTGGCGGCAACCGTATTGATTCGCCCCCTTTTTGATTTTATGTCTTGCTTGGCTGGAGTTGTGAGCTTTTTCGATTACGAATTGAAGTACTCTTCCAGAACTGGAAACACTCCCTGTTATGTCGCAGTTAAATATTAACTTTCGAGCGAATCTGTACGCGATCTATCCAGAAAGAGTAGGATGATAATTGTTTGTTGCACTTGGTAACTCTCTTATATTCCTTATCGAATTATCTGTTTAATGTAATTTAGATTTGACTACTAATTAACCAGTTATTGGTTGAATAACCTGATGATGAGATTTGTTTAGGCAATACTGCACATTTATATTTGTAGTTAGTTACTGCTTATAAGTTAAATTCTCTATCCATGTGTACAAACGTATGCAATAAACTTGTGACGTGACCCGGGACTGTTATTATGCACCTTATAATTAGTGAGAGTTAACTATGAATACCAGGCAGTAAGATTAAACTTACCTTTTGTACGAGATGTGTTTATTCCATATCAACAAGTTCCAGAGGTTAGTGATATCTTTGTAGGAAACACCCGTATCAACAAGAATATTTGTTAGTGCAGCAGTTCTTGTCTAGCCTGAAAGTACTTATAGTGCTGTGAGAGCCTAAATACGGAGAGCCAGAAGCAAGTAAAAACAGGGGACATATTAGGCTCAAATAATAAACCTATATTCAGTAGAGTAGGAGATCAATGACAATCAGCAAAATCGTAATGTTCAGAAAGTTCGACAAGGACAGATCAAAGTTTTAGCACGAATTTTTAATCTTTAACAGTTCAATAATTTGAAAATGAACTGCGCATACTTTATCATGATATACAATGATGGCTGCTAACATAGAAAGTGGGAGGTGATATAAAGCTAGCTGGCATTGTATACTGTTGTAGTGAAACAGTAAAAATATGAAATTTTTTAAACTCAGTATTCACAAACGTACAAAGAGATTGAATTGATAGAATGAAAAATAGAAATATATATAAGATTTGTAAGTTACTTGTTATAGTTAGAAATATGTACGTCATTAATTTCATATCAAAACCTACGACCATTGTAATATAGTGAAAATAATTCTAAGGAATGACAGTGACAGATTCAAATTGTTAGATTAAAGTTGTTAAGAAATATGTTACATGGCACGATCTTAAACGTGGGCAGTCGGGTTATTAATAACTAGTTGAAAGAAGACAACCGACCAAATCACAACAAGTTGTGTATGAGAACGTGTGCATTTATTCAACGGTGACAAGTGTATCATATGGATGACATACGACAACATAGGAAGCCAACTTCAGTCTTTAGTAGTAGCAATATTATGTCAATCGACATATACTTGTAGTGTGTAATACGGTTAATATAACGCGTTGAATGTATCAAAAGAAGATGAGGAGGAGGACGATTCTTGCAATTTGTTGCTCACTGTGAGAAAAAGGACTTAGACGTAAACGATGTTATCATGGTTTTTGGACTTCATTAGAATTTACTCTCCGGCAAACAGTTGTTGATGAAAGGGGAAGATACGACACAATTATACCACGACCATCCTCAAGTAAACGATAAGCCATTGGTAGACCATCTCAACCTACAAGGAGATAACGGACATGGGTTGAAGTGTCCTAGTCGTTCTTCCTTAGATAGGCCAGGGAGATTCTTAATCACTTTGGTTCATGGCCATTTGTCTACTTCCACCATGCCCGCGTCATACTTGGAACGAGGACTCGTTTAATGAATCTCACAACCCTAATGTTCAAATTGTAGAGAAGAACGGACAATCAATTGGTTACTCTACTCAAAGTTCGGATGAGGAACTCAAAGAGAGCTGGTGCTTAAATGAAACGTGTAATGAGTGTTAGGAGTGAAGACAGTGTGTTTTCACATTATCTTATGCTATTTTGGACCGCTGACATTTTTGTATTCAAATGTTAAGAAAGTTCGGTCCCCCAGAAAATGAAATTACGTGACGATATTCATTAGACGTGGAATTCTATTGGAACAATGAAGCCCGAGAATATCAGAAAATTGCTGAAACTTGGTAAAATTAAACACAGAGAAAGTTTGAGTTTGCACTTTTATGACGATCCTTTCAGTTTCGCTTCATGTAACTGTGCTAACAAGTAGGTATTGTGGGAATACTCACTAAAGAATATCCCGAATTCCCCTTTCAAACCGCTTTCGCCCAAACAATAAATCTGGCGATAGGTCATGATTTCAACGACTGTTCAGATTCGTGATCTTGACATTTACATTTGTTTTCCGACACCAGTTATACTAAGACGGCCTTTAAGTATTTCGCAAGTTTTTCAAATATATCCTATGTAATGCATTTGGTGGTGTTTCGACTTTTGAGTTTTCGGGTTGTTTTGATCTCACACTTGTGCTATTGCTGATTGTTGTCGTTTTCCTTTGTTTCCATATATGAGTGCATTCAGTGTGCTTAACTTATCGTCGGTCAACTTTTTCTATTGTTCTTTCCTCTTACAGATATACTAGTATATCTGGGAGCTCCCACGTGCACTCAGCATATAAAATATCTTCAGTCCTGTCGCAAACTATTACGTTGTGGAATTCCATCAGAGGATCTCCTTCTGGGCCAATTCTAGCTATCTGACCGAGTTACACATCATACCTACCATGATGGATATTGATGAAATCGAGTTCAAGGACCCTCCAGAATTCATCAAATATGTTTGTGGCAGATTGAATATGACTAAGGAAGAATTTCAAGACGAGTTTCATGAAGCATGTGTTAATGGACACTTTGATTCTCCTGTCTTCTCAACTGTACGGAAGCTCTTCCGCTTTCACTGCTTTTGTACCAGCCGATTCAGGACTAAAAACAAAATGTTGTGCACAACTAAGCTTTTTGAGTATCTTATATCAGGAACCTTAGGATTTGATACCCTGAGACGCAAACGTAGGTTTCTAAAGCAATCAATTATGTTAATGACAATTTTTAGTGAAAGAATACGATTATTCTGCAAGATGCAGTCTTGTATGGACAACTAATTATTTTGCTTATCGTTGCAGAACATGTGGGATGTCTCCCAGTATGTCTCTCTGCAGTTCTTGTTTCACTGCCGGTAATCACGAAGGACATGATTTTAACAAGTTTAAAAGTCATGCTGGTGGTGCGTGCGATTGTGGTGATGCAACTGTAATGAAAGAATCAGGGTACATCAGTTATTTCGTGCTTTTTTATTCAATGTATAGTTCAATAGATTATCAGTTCATTGATTTATATAGTAGTGAATATATGGATGTTGTTTGTCGTTATTGGATAGACCAGTTAACTCGACTTAGTTTAGTCATTTAAATTTAAGCAACTCTCTTCGATCCTGTTAAATGACTGTTAACGCGTCATTAAGTAAACACATCATCACTTGATTCAGTTTTCATCACCATCTGGCTAATACATATCCTCCGTAGTTTAATATGATACAAAGAATATCCCAATAATGTAAAAACGGGCCTGTTTAAATGGAAGCACATTACATGGACTGAAGTTTGGTTTTTTTAAAGGTGTAGGACCAGGCACATATGTGCATCGGTCCAAGTTGCCACACCTCATTAGCACAACAAGATCAACACCAAATTCATAGAATCAGTCACTTCAATGGTAGCAATGCATAAAAAATATTGTGTATAAGGATATAATACAGGAAGAAAGAATTGGTTCCTAGAACAAAAGGTATAAAGTAAGTTTAATCTCACAGTTTAAGGGAAGAAGGAGAGTGTATGCACCTACGCCATTGTAATTGATTTTGAGCCATGTCACCTAGTCTCCAACCATTGGATACGATAGTCACACGGACCCCAACCAAGTAGTCTGTATCTATCAACATGACCAAACTAGAATTTAGTGACTTTATGGACTAATGCCATGTTTTAGTTTGGCCATCTCTAACTTTCTTCCATCCATCTCCAACATTAGTCAGCGTTGCGCATCGTGATAAACACTGTTCAGGCATACATAATACGTGACTTAACCATCACAGCCGACTTAAAACCTCATCAACTGATTTACCATAATTCCATAATAACCTGCATCTAACCTCACTATTACTTACCCGTTGATCCCAGCAGATGTGAGCAATATTTCTAAGACATCAGTGACCAATTACTAGGAACTTACGAGTATCTTCTACTCCTAAAGGCCGCGTTTCACAGACATAAAGTAGAACAGAACGAACTACTGCTCAGTATATTCGTCCCCTAATTGATAGACGGATATCTCGACTTCGCCATAGGTGACGTAATTTTGCAAAAGTTAAAAGAGGATTTTGAGTCCGTGCAGAGATTTCCTCAGACACCAACCCATTAGGGCTGATCAGACTTCCAAGATAAGTGAGGTTGTCAACGCGTTCGACTACTGCACCCTCTGTCCTTAGTTCAGGTGTTGACGCAGGCCAGTCGTGAAGTAACACCTTGCATTTAGTGGGTGAGAAACGCATCCCAAACATTCTGGTATTGTTGCTCAGTGCCATCAAGAGGCTGAATTTTGTCAGTATCTTCACCAAAGAGGACTATATCATCTGTGTATTCTAAGTCAATAAGTAGATCTTCTGGTAGGAGATCAATGCCTGAAAATCCAGACGACGTGGACGTTATTTCCAGCAGTAGGTCTTTAATAAAATTAAACAGAAATGGAGATGGTGGATAGCCTTGACGAACATCACTTGAGGTTGCAAAGCAGATGACAGTTCGCTATAAGCTCTGACTCGACTAGTATTGTTCGAGTTAAGTGCACTCACAATGTTTATGTGCATCTGAGGTACACCTTTCAATGAAAGACACTGCCACAGTACCTCTCAGTCTACAGAGTCAAATGCTGCTTTTCTGTTAAGAAAAACTATCATTGTCGCACACTGATAAGCATACCTGTATTCTAGAACCTGACGGATGGTGAATATTTGGATGATGCTGCCACGATCAAGTCTAAATCCAGCATGATTTTCTCGTGTTTGCAGTTCACCAGTCTTAATTAGGCTGGTATTTTGGATGTTATATTGGTCAAACTAATCCGTCTATGGTTATTAGAGGATGATTCAGGCTCTTGATGTTGTTTGTAATGCTAGATAAGGACAAATTTATAGGTGAGTGTAATTTCCTATCGATGAACAATTAGAATACGAAGTCAACTCTTATTCGGAACTAGATGCCCAACGGTTGACGTCACTCGTCTCTTAATGGGTCCCCACATCCCCTGAGGATGCATCTGGATTTCTACATTTTGACTTTGTGTGCAATTTTATTAGCTCATTTTGAATTCATAATACTTTTGGTAGTGATGGTATACTATTAAACGTTAAACAGGTGACCCCAAAATCACTTCCAGGAAATCCAAATGAGTAGAATCTTATTAGTATAAATATTGCGAGAAGTATTATATTATTTACGAAGTATTGTTATTTATGCTTAATAGGTTTGTTTGGGTTCCGTATTAACTTTCAATAATTGTAGATTTTGCCGTTTTCACGGACCGGATAAAGTACACAATCGTCCAGTACCTCCTGATGATTTAGTTGCTCCTCTTAGATGCTTACTTCCAAGTTTCTTATCTGCTTTGTTATACTGGCTGTGGGAACATGGAAGGGATAGTGAAGGATTGAATTTTAATGAAGATGATACACCTGCTATCTCAATTCTTCATGCATTACACGCCAGTGGATGGGTTACACAAAAAATGATAGCTGACGTTATGATTGACAAGGCAGTCTATGAAAAGTTGATATTTGGTGAGTACTATCTTTTGAAACTACTGTAAAAACAAACATAGTAACGGTATCCTTGAATTACGACTTACGAGCTCTAATAAATTGACAATACGCGTTAAAGGTTGCTCAGAAACTAGATATAGGGAAATGCTATCTAACAAGTTTTCGGATTTGTCGTTTGGCGGTGCCCCAATGGTTAGAGCATACGGCTTTCAGTCAGTAGGTTTTATGTCTAAACCTATTTCCAGACACCTCGATTTGGGCAACCGATTCGTATCAATGTCCTTCACACACACAAATTTATGGTCCAAAGTTGAGTACACAAAATTTACTTGGTCAATGTATTATTCATGTATTAATGTATTTATATGTTTGCAGTTCAGTTTCACTGTTTTAAAGTTAGTAATGTATTTTTCTGATTGACTTACAATCACGCTTGTGCATTGCTAAGAAAAGATTTCTGGGTTTCAACAACTTACAGTTTATAGGATGAATTTAGAAGGGATTCAAAAAAGCGTAATTAATTATAGAAGTAACAGCCCACACTGGAAGTACATAGATCTAGTGGAAAGAAAAGCAAAAACACAGTAATCGTATACGGCTTTTGCATGTAAAAGTAGTGAAAATTAATGATATTCCACAATCTCCATCTATAAAGTCAAAAGTCTGGAAATTAAAACTGCATATCAGATAAGGTCGGTTTGTATAACATATTTATTAGCCAGTCATTCAGGTCTATGCAGGCGAAAGAGGTTTCTGTCAATGTAGCTTATAGATTGTTTTATAGTAAACCAAGATTGATAATGTAGTTGTGACAAAACCATCATCAGATTAATTACATAAACGGCGTAAATGATATTTGGTGACCTGTTCGACTAAGATAGTTTTACAAGTCTAGGAACAGTATATATATATATATATATATATATATATATATATATATATATATATATATAATATCAAAGCAGGTCTTCATTAGTGTTTGCATTGATAATATCGTTTTCAATCGCGTTAAAGATATGTATTTTTAATACTTGTATGAATAATCCACATGGATTTTGATTTTAACATAGTCATACAATTTTATTCTCTAACAATAGAGTTGTCAAATCGAGAAACTATATGATGTACATTTAAAAGCTAGAACTGTTTATAAAACAATTGATTTTTTATGTTAGCAAAACTAATGAATTTTAAAGCACATTTTCGACATTACATGAATTTCTTCATATGTTGTCCTATAGTGTTAACAGATGCTCATTACATTATGCTTGTTGAGATTCTAATAATTGCTAAGACATACAAGTAGTGTACTCATTTCAGAATCAAGTTTGTGGTGTATTCAGCCTTATTAGTTACGATATTTTGTAGCTTAGTACGAAATATTAACATAACAGCAGTTGGTGTTATAAGGAATATAGATTCCAAATTACATAATTATGTCGATACAGTTAACATATTAGCTCAGCTAGTCATCACTTATTATATTTTGAGACACTGATCGCTATTGCTTGATAAATTTACCCATGGAAATTCTGATTGTGGTTTTTTTACTCGGTGTCTACTATTCTATCTATAGCTTGGCATAGTAGACTTTACCAGTTATTCCTTCTGACCTGTTCAGTTAAATTTGAACCATCATGAGCTACACTCTTATCGGTCCGTCTATCCGCGATCTTTTCTCTATCCTCCGCCTCGAGTCCAAAGAGAAGTCAACAGCCAAGCTTCTCATGTTGATTTCAATCACGTGGGCTCATATACAGACATAATGTACCATATTGCACCGTTAAATATAATATCTCTATCCTACACAATTAAGCCAAAAGTGACTAAACCAAGCAGCTGTAATAGTTGATATGTCAAACGAAAGCTTACGGTAGACGGAATATTGAAATGGAGGAATCCAGTTACTTAGTAATTATACAATAAGAATATTGTTATAACGGTTGGTTTTCTACGTTTACACGAATGGGATGTTAATTTACCTTAGACGAATATCTACACTAAATTCCCTCCCATTGTCTATTCTACAGGACGTCAACACAACTCAGATCAAGAACACGTGATTAGCTTGACTAGAACGTAAATACATTCCACACCCAAAACCCGAAACAACCCAACAACAATGAACAATCAATAATTATTATTATAAAGATAGGGGAATATATAACTCTTCTGACACCTGTCAGACTATTTGTATGTTTGACTAAGCAGACAACCAATCTTTTTCATTCTCGCGCACACATCAAATGCATATAATAATAATAATAATAATAATAATGATAATAATAATAATCCATAAAATGATTTCAGAGGTTACCGTTTCGCCAAACTTCGTTCTGATAAATCATAAGCAACTTAGGGCCCGATACATATAGGAATCGGTTCAAGTTGTCAAAATATTCAGAAAGTTTATTCGAGAGATCATTTAATTATTTCACGTGACTGTGTGTGATATATTGTTTACGAAAGTTTTATCCAAGAAGAAATAACCCGGTGTTTATCTATGGCGATAATTAGTCTAACATAGAACATAAGATATTTTTAATAATTTTAAACATAAGGAGATAATAGTATTACTCTTGAAATTTAGTGCTTAAAATTGTTGAAGTCACTATTCTAAATTAATTCAAACATTTTATTAAATAAATGTAAGTCTAATTAAGTGGAACTACGAATCCAATACTTGTGAAACTTTCGTTTAAGTAATTAGTACTAATATGTATTTTTGATTTTTTGCAAATGCTTAGACCAACTCGACTGCATACACCATTGGGTGTAAGACGGAATCACTTTCAAATATGATGTTGAAAGTTCACTCTGTTTATTGGTAATGTTTCACCTTCAAAACTTCGATATTTATTTCTGTTATGTAGGAGAAAGCTGTGATAATTTAAACGAATTTTCTATTGTTAAAATCAAAGAGTAGAATGCGGATTGATATTGGTTGATTGATGATAATAATGATACGAAGTGACTAAGTGATGGTTGCTAAAGGCAGAATTATTGGCATAAACCTCTAAATGATTTGAGATCAAAGACAAGACCACTAGTCAGATGGAAAGGCTTTTCCCAAAATGAAATAACATACTTATACACAAGTTATCAGCAGAAAATGAACAGGACTGTGTCATATATGATTAGTCACTAGTAGTTTCACAGATTGTTCATTTCATTATAAATATAGTCCTAACCTTTTGGCATAACTCCAACTCGTCATATCAGTTTTAACCCGAATCATTGTAAATACTATTCTCAGCACTCATGTATCCCATTACTATGTTCGGTACATGTTTGTGTGCTTTGTTCTGACAAACTTTTTGCCATCAAGTAATATTTTTGCATTTGTCGTTTCTCTAATCAGTTTCGGGCGTATTCATGTGATTTTTGGTTGTTTCCAGGATATCCTAGATCTAAGTTTGTTCAATTTTCAGTGGTAAACAGTAGGGTTGGATAATAATTTTATCGAATTGTTTCAATAATCATCAAATTTAATTCATGCGGATATACGGTTAACATCAAATAGGACCAGTTAATCTTTCATCAACGCAGCACCTGGAACAGATGTACGTTGGTCCAGGTTGCCATAATATATTCACACGACAAGATGAAATTAATTGATTACCAAAAGTAATCGAAATAATGGAGCAGTATAATGAACGAAGACTCGGGTGGGGTAATCCGGTTTACTGTATTAATCAAAATCACACTGTCTGTAAAACGTGAAAACAATACATTGAATACATCATTTGCACATCTTTCTTGAATGGTCTCTTAAGAACTCCATCGTTCTTTCATTCATGTTGCTACTCGGTCTGCTTCTGTTTTTTTCTATTTTCCTCATGTTTCTCTTCTGTCAGTAAGAATTCTACTTCAATTCTTGGTACTTACTACTTATATCTGTCCGTATAAGTAGCACATACCGCAGTAGCAATGACAATGAGAAAAATTAAACATTAATAATATCAATAAATAATATATTTGCAATATACCAATGAGTAGGAAAGTTAGATTTTTGGACGTTTCGTGACTTGTTGTAAGTCACTTCTTCAGAAAACAAATAACCGAATTTAAATAGTACAACGGAACAATAAGAATAATATGTGATCAATCAAAAACAGGTCTGAACAAGTTAGTCTAATTTTTCTACTCATTGGGATATTGCAATCTGCCCAATGCTCAATTTATTCGAAATGATCGAATCAAACCTACATTAATAATATCGTTCTCAAAGACAGAGTAGAAAGTTACATATGAAAAGATACCGGAATTCAAGATTGAGATCAAAATAAGGAGAAAATTCATCTTCACCATTGTGAACGATCCACGGTCAGTGTCACATATACTTTTCAACCACTATTGGGGGTTATTTTGTGAATTCTAATCAGGTAGTATGCACTTGTCAACATGAATTAGACCACAAGTCAATGTATTATTGGGCTGATTTAAGGTTTTGTTATCGTCACTTCTAGTTTTCACTCAGCCTACTCCTACACCAACAAACATCCCATGTCGAGATTGGTTATGATTGGTGATACGTAACATATATCCTAACTACCTCAATTGATGAAGATTCATAACCTGTCTAATCGAAAGCATCACTGATAGATACAGACTACTTGGTTGGGGTCCGTGTGACTATCGTATCCAATGGTTGGAGACTAGGTGACATGGTTCAGAATCAATTACAATGGCGTAGGTGCATACACTCTCCTTCTTCCCTTAAACTGTGAGATTAAACTTACTTTATACCTTTTGTTCTACGAACCAATTCTTTCTTCCTGTATTATATCCTTATACACAATATTTTTTATACATTGCTACCATTGAAGTGACTGATTCTATGAATTTGGTGTTGATCTTGTTGTGCTAATGAGGTGTGGCAACTTGGACCGATGCACATATGTGCCTGGTCTTACGTTGTAGATGACTGAGTAAAATAAAAATCAATAGGCAAACTAATTGTAACTTTATTTTTTCTGTTTTTAACAGAAACTGAGAATCGGAGAGCATGTGGTGACTATCAACTGAGTGTATCCAGTAATCCTGAATTCGAATTTCCTCGTGAGTAGTTTTAATCTATTTTGTAGCGCTATTTTTAAATTATATGTTCTTTTTTCATGTATTGTGCACTTCTTTAAGAGTTGCTGTTTACAATGCTGAGTTTCAGGTTAGTCTTTATAAGTTCAAATGAATGATATCGCCGATTTTTTTATCTCTTAGGAGTACGGCTCTTGTAATTTAAATTGCACTTGAAATAATTTATTTAGTATTTATACATAGCATAATCCTTCCTGTTTGTGTGGAGCATAGTAGTAATATAATGAATTCCCAGATCTTAAAGTTTTATTTTGGTAAGTTAGAATTTGATCATGCGGCCTGTTTCTATCATACACCATATGTTTCAACCTTCAAATTCACCGCCTATCACCGTTTGAGTAATAATTTATTTATCTTTATTGCGGTATAAAAAACAAGGTTTTAATGTTGAGAAATCAAGATGAAAAATCATGTGGTGTTACCTCTATCAATACCACTGCTACCAGTTTGGGAGGAGAAAATCAATTTTACCGTGTTTAATTTTACACTGAATTTGTTAAATATGAAAACATTCCATTAAATACACCGTTTTTTACGTCTTTCTTGAGTCTTCCCTTACAAATTCCATCGTTCTTCCATTCCTGTTGTTACTCTGATTGATCTATATTTTGCTTTCTCTTCTCATTTTCCTTTTCTGTCAGTAAGAGTTCTACTTCCAATTCCTGCTACATATTGTAGTGTCGGTTACTATATTAAGCCCACATATCTTATTCTAGCTTCTGGACAGATCAATTCATTCATTTTTCATGAGTCACATTTTGACCTTGTCGATTATTCGTTTTCAACTTTGACTACTTTTATATGAGTGTGTGTGCACTTATCTTACTCATCACATATCTGTAACTTATTTTTGTTCGATCATAAATCTTGATTAACCCTAGATTAAATCGAGTTGAATAACACGCCTTCTCTACCTCGTGTCATTTCGCTTTACTCTCTTCACTTTGTTTTCTTCGCTCTGTTTCTTCAATCGTTTGTTTGGATCAGCGATTGTATGAAATACACATATTCGAAATTCATTCTCGTTTTTGCCTCACATAATTGAGTTAAACACTAATGCGAGTTAAGCCGTTGTTTATACACAATAGTCAGGAGGTATATTTCGGTAGCAATTATTTTTTTTAGCGATCAGAATCGATATAGGGCCACTGAAATACTACTTATATCTGTCCGTCTAAGCATACGACACAATACTACCGATAATAATAAATACTAATGATAAAAAGGTGAAAACCTCAGTGAGAAATATTCCGATTTGGATGAAGATCATACATCTCATTATTTTCTAGTTATGTCATTGCATTAAAAAACCCATCTGAGTCATCACTTATTCACATTGTTAATTACCCATAACAGTATCGTAAACCTCTAAATTATTTGATCTTTGTGATCTCATTCCAATTCTGTCTTTCATTCCACGACTCCAATTCATAAACTGACTTATATTTAGGATGTTGTGCACATCCTCGCCTTAAGGTAACTGTTGTACTATTTACCCTTTAATATTAGAGGTCGATAAAAGTAGTGTGACAATATTTCTTCTCTTCAGCATTTCGCATCTACCCACATATGTCTTCTGTCCTAATGAATTCCTAATGAATTTTACCCTTATGAAGTCTCATACTGGTAAAAAACAACTATCCAGTGCTCTTTCAGGTTTTTAATGGTTGTTTTGATGAAGACCAGTCCATTCTTTCAGACAATAATGCGATAATTTTCTTTGATCACTTAATCAGAAAGAGTAATGATTATCTAAGTTCATTTATTAATTCTATTCCTATTTTGTCTATTTCTATTTCATCATCTGTGTATAGCTATTATAAGCAATCAAAATTTAGTGCATCAAACACTTTTGGATGCTTTCATTTTCTCAACTATAAAACTACGCTTTCCAGAAAGCTTGGTCACATTCTTAATTGGATTGTTAGCTGTTGAAGAATTCAAGGTTAATAATTGTTCAATTTGTTTTAATAGTAATAATAGTTTTTATTTCTATTATCATGGGAAATTATAACATTTACCTTTATTACTTATGATGATCGACAAATCACGTTATAATTGCATCATGTATTTATTAACTAAATTGACAATGTCGAATCATTTGAATTACTCTCAAAAAGTGTAGGTGAATAGCCGAGTTCAATTTTTCTAGTTGTTTTAATATGTATTTAATCCTTGTGAATGTATTCATGTTTTTTTAAAATAATTATCAATCAGTCATACGCATTGTAGAATCTTACTTACTTACTTTCGCCTGTTACTCCTAATGGAGCATAGGCTGCCGACCAGCATTCTCCATCCCACTCTGTCCTGGGCCTTCTTTTCTAGTTCCATCCAATTCTTGTTCATTTTTCTCATGTCTATCTCCATTTCTCGGCGTAATGTGTTCTTTGGTCTTCCTCTTTTCCTTTGGCCTTGAGGATTCCATGTGAGGGCTTGTCTTGTAACGCAGTTGGGTGATTTCCTCAATGTGTGTCCTATCCACTTCCGGCGCTTCTTCCTGATTTCTTCCTCCGCTGGGATCTGGTTTGTTCTCTCCCACAGTACGTTGTTGCTAATAGTGTACGGCCAACGGATCCGAAGTATTTTGCGTAGACAACTGTTAAGAAACACCTGTATTTTCTGGATGATGCCTTTCGTAGTTCTCCAGGTTTCTGCCCCATACAGTAGAACTGTCTTGACATTTGTATTGAAAATCCTGACCTTGGTGTTGGTTGACAGTTGCTTTGAGCTCCAGATGTTCTTCAGTTGTAAATATGCTGCTCTTGCTTTGCCGATCCGCGCCTTCACATCTGCATCAGATCCACCGTGCTCATCAATGATGCTGCCCAAATATGTAAAGGTGTTAACATCTCCCGAATCTTCTCCTTCAATTGTGACTGGATTGGTGCATGTTGTGTTGTATCGGAGAATCTTGCTTTTCTCTTTGTGTATATTGAGACCTACTGCTTCTGCTACACTGGTCGTTTTCTCCTGCATTTGTTGTTGTATTTGGGATAGAAGGGCCACATTGTAGAATCTGGTACATGTATACATTTTTCCAAATTGTCATACTCAATTTAGCGCAGAAAAATGAAATTGTTAGAACAAATCCCACGATAGAGAAGATGGAAATAGTATTAGGGAAGTAGAAAAAGATTGTACATAAAAGATGATTTTAGAAGAAAGTATGAATTAGTATAATGAGAAGTTTTTTTAGAAATCTAAAATCTGAGTGAACAGAAAGACTGATTATACCAGCGTTATTGCAGACAATTTTGAGTTACATCACTTTTAATCTTGTAAGGTAAAAACTGTATGAATTTTTCTTGTATTCTCTTCCAATAAGAAAAAGACAATTCAGCGAAGGAGAATTTCTTTTTGACTCAATCATTTACTTATGCTGTACATTCGTATATTATGTTTATTGTTTTTCTCTTATGTGTACATATGTACGATGATAGTCGAGTGTAATATTTTTTGCTTTCAATCTGTCAATTTATAATTCATATCATTTCGATGTAAAAGGCGAATTTCAATCGTGTTTTTATCCATTAGAGCTGTGGAAATCATTTTTGATTCATTTCAATCTATATTCGTTAATTTTACTTTGAAATAACGATTCCTAAAGTCTTCAAAAGCCTGTCATAATAAAAAAAATGGTGTGAACTTATATGACAGCTATCTTAGACTGAAATGAATCTATTTTCTAGTACTCCACTTTTTCCAATAGTTCTCCAACTAGTGTCATTACGGAATAAAAAGACATGTCAGTTTTTTGGATCCACTTCAATCGCTGTAAATCATACGAGTAATTAAAACTATGAACTCACCACAATATATCGTCTTTTTTTCCAGATATGCTGATATATTTTATTCCATTTTCTCTTTATTGTATTATAGGAAGAATTTATTCAATCCTATCTTAATCATTACACACGAATAGCTTCAACTGTTCTACTTTCAGCGCGTGCACGTATTTCACCTGAATGGTCTTTACAAATGAATAATCGTATTGTACATATATCAGTACAATTGTTCAGTGGTGAAGAATTAGCTCTACGTGTAATTAAACAAAGAAATCTTCATCATCTCCTTGTACATTGTTTACTAAATATGTTAACATGTTGTCGTACTGTAAGTCTAGAATTAATTAATTTCAGTGACATGATTTTTTGATAAGTAAATTCATTCGTCAATTAGTCAATTGATTTGTTGTAATTTACGATACACTTTAACATTGATAAAAGTTTGTCTAACAAATATTAAAGTTCCACCGTTTGGTCGGATAATAAATTTTCATCTTGATATATATATTCCAAAAAGGAAAACAGTTTCAATCAAACCACAATCTGTTTAATGTTTTATCATTGTTACTGTTTATCAATAGAGGTATAGCCTAGAGCGGATGTATGCTCAATATGAAGTTAAAAAAATACCACATTTAACACACAATGTCTTTATTGTGAATGTAATTCTGTGTAGTTTCAATTTTAGAAGTAGTCCACTCAGACATTAGTAGTTGTAAATGTAATAAGTCTGTCTGATTACAGTGTGATTACGTTCTTTTTAAGTCGGAGATGTATGATCATTTTACATTTCTGAGCATTGATTTCCAGTTTTTCCGGAAATCTAGTCACTTGAAGAACTTGTAAGTAATCTATTTTAAATTAGACATATTTTATTGGAAAGAAGTGTTCCGAATCATCATGTTATTCGATCGGTCAGATGAAGACTAAACCTTAGATACATTCACTTTGTCGATATTGTCATTAAATGACAGCCAGAAACAAGGAAAAAACTCTTATAATCCTATATTGTTGTGGATTACCAGACTTGATCACAAGAAGATCAAATGAATGTAAAGAAATTAAAACAGAATGAAAACAGTAATGTAACTATTAGTAAGCAAAAATTACTACGAATACCACAATTTCACCAAACTTGTTCAAGAAAACACTGAAGTGAATTGTAGTAGGGATTGTTTATTTTCGAACAATTTCAGTTGATTCGGATCATAAAAATCTTTCGTAAGTAGCACGACCCTACATTTTTTGGAATAGTGGCTTAGTGGCCAATGCGTTCGACTCTCAGCCACTAGGTTTCAGGTTCAAACTCCCCTTCGCCCACCTTGGCACAACCAAATAGCATCATTAGCCCTCGCATTCAGATTGTGACTCATATTATAGTACCTGGTAAATAATTCAAGTTTTAATACCCTACATTTGGCTTCAGCAATAATCAGGTGTTTTTCTGATTTGTATCTATGATTTTATAAAATTAATCATTGATGGTTTGGAGCTCTTGCACTATTGAAGTTCATTTGACCCTTAGCCTTGTTATATATCTAATTGTATGTTTCCTTTAAAAAAAGTAACTTTATTTTACTTGTTCATGAGACTCTACGGGGGAAAATGTAGCTCAGGGATTATATACTCGTTCGTTCAACTTAATACTGCCGTGACATAACTCGTTAATTAGAAATGTGGTAGCTTTAAAAATTCAAACTCACGTTGCTTTTTTATATCCCAACGAAGAATAAATGAATGGTGACTGCCAAGCCTTATTATATGTGACGATAGTCCACAGCTCTTATTGGGTAATTGTAGTGGTTGGCACTACATCTAGCCTAGCCCACATGGGTTATCCTAGCTTCCAGACAGACCGATTTATTCATTCTCCTTGGGTCCTATTTTGATCTTATCGATTATTCGCTTATCAAATCTTGACTGTTCTACCCTGTTCATCACATATCTGTAACCTATTTTTGTCTAACTATGAATATTGAGTCACGCTTGGTTAAATGGAGTTGGCCCACATGCCTTCTCGATTTGTTTCGCTCTCTCTTCTTCGCTTTACCGCTTCTTATTCTGAATCTGTCTGGATAAATGAACGCCTGAATTAAATTCCTCCAATGCCATCCGTATTCGGCTTTTTATTATCGCCGTCATACAAACGGGGACAGCCTAGACAATATACGGAGTTAAATGGAAGGTTTATATTCATAGCATATTTATACGTTCATCAAAATTGGAGTCAGATCAGTCGGCACCAATAAAACATTATATGCATATTGATATTTCTTTTATCATGAGCTGTCATCTGACCATATTGGCTACTGTCATACGATTTACCATCCGTAATTTATTTTCAACCAATTAGTTAAATCTCCCATACTCAGTCACTTTTGACTTAAATTTGTATAATTATTATTTTTCATCTTATGATGTGATGCGGTCTGATTTCCTTGTATAATAGACCATTTATGTGTGAAGTACATGATTCATGTAGCGGAGGCTGTTATTTGTGTTCTGACGGGTTAGATCAGAAGCCATTATACAGAGACCAATAAGGATTCAGAGTTGACTCAAGGCGATTGGTGTTGGTGTTGATGTGTAATTAATGTAACACAGCGATAAGATTATAGAAGTCTATATTCTGATTGGCGATTTTATCACGTGATAATGGATAGGAGCATAAGTCGTAATATCTCTTTCCTTAGAATGTAAGTTAATCGAAATTGTGGTATTCGACCAACTCAGCTGTTGTTGCGTTATTGATAAAAGAAGAGAGAGATCAGTTTGTAATAGGAATCCAGTTCTGGAATCCTGGCTCTAAGTACATTTTAACCTACTTCATCGTCAACCTCATATACATATGGTTACTAACGTTAACAATAACGGTAAGTTAATAGGAGATCCGATTAAAGTTATTGTAAGACCTGACACGAATGTGTATCAATTCAATTTACTATGGATACCACATCACATTAATATAGCAACAAAAGATATTAATAAAATGAAAAAGAGATTGTGAAATTAGATAGAACATCTTCAACGGTATAATTACAATTTGTAAAATGATATATTTATGCATCAATACCTAAATTGTTAAAAACGGAAATTGTAATTTCAAGAGTGAAACTTCGGTTATATTAAATGTTAAATAATTTTTCCATTGACTTACTTATAACTTGTTTTTAAAAGCACAATCTCTTGAGAAAATTTCATTTTTATGTACTTCTCGTACTCTATTCATTATTTTAATAGCGTTTAGACGATCGAAGCAATATGGTGCTTAGTTGTGATGGGATATTAATTCAAAACAATGTATTTTGGCCATTTGTTTCAGATCTCAGTAATTTAGTTTCTCATAAATCAATAGTTGATATTCTTGTTGAAGACGCAGATTTTTTAAATGCATGGACTAAATTAATACGATATATGCAAGTATGTTTTTTTTATTTTCTCCCAATAACTGTTCTCTATTACTGTTATTTTTTGTGTACTTTCTTGAGCTAATAAAACGTACGATTTAGCATTAGTTCGTACATTTGATATTCAAAAGTTATGCAAGTAAAATTGTGCTGTCCACCTGAATGTAAGCAATGATAGTTATATTTAAGTGTAGGTATTGCCCAAAGCTTTTAATTATTAGTAAGTGAACAGAAAATTCATTTATGGGGATGATGTTCAAAAGATATCCTACCCTATTTATTCATTAAGATTGTTACTCCTAGTAGGCCATAGGTTGTCAACCAGGAATTTCCAACCTAATCTATCATGTTCTCTCCTTTCCAGTTGTTGTCAAGTTCTATTAATTATTTTGATGTTTTGTCCTATGGATCAGTGAATGTCACATTCGGTAAAAATTTCACATCCTGTGTTTACTGAGTTATTCAGTCAGTTATGGCGTAGGACTTGCTATATTTGTACATTCGTTCAGGATTTCGCATCATTTCAACATGGAAAGATGAAATTAACAAGATAAATAAAGAAGAATTTTGAATAATAGTAGTGACAATAATTATAAGAAAGATTAAACAATAAGTTTGAATAAAAAGTATGAAATAATGCAGACTGAATATTCAAGGCATGCTATTGTTATGTTTCGACAAGAATATTGAATGATAAACTTTGCGATCCATTTATCGACTAATACTATACATATATTTTTTTGTATAGTTGTTAAGAAACTAAAATATGCATATTCATGTTTCTCTTATTATAAGCTTTATTTTGACCCATGTACTATTATCATACGATTTACCGTTATTAAGTTATGCCCAGCATATTAATTACAGTCTCCCACATTCACAACCACCTTTGGCTAGATCTTGTACAAATGTTATTTCCTATTTATGGCGTGATGTGGTCTGTTTGGCTTGTATATAAACCACGTATGTCTGAAATAAATGATTCACACAGTGGAATCTGTTATTGTCCTTCTGGTCTCAACCGGAAGGGGTAGGAGAACAAAGGACCTATAAAGACTCTTTGCTGCTTTTATACCAATCTAACGTCATTGATTTGTCACAGTACTAAGATTGTATAAGTGGCATTTCGATTGGCGCATAAAACACGTGATGCGTAGCCAGCCAGGCTCTAAGACACGACAGTTATATTATTCATTGTATTTAAATGTTTCTTACGATTATCGTGTGGAGGTCAACCAAGCAGTCTACACTTCCCGCACATGGCTACAACTAACAGTCAATGTGTATGGTACACTATCCCAACAAATATGTTGGTTAGTTAATTAGGCTTCTAAAGACTCAGTTTATGGTCTAGTCTTTTCTTAAGTACTTTAGATGGTGTAATCAGAACCAACATACGCTCCCCAGTCTGTGTATCTACTAGTATATATTTGAGGTAAAATAATAATGAGCGTTTCGATAATGTAATAAGAAGACGAAGATTATCAGAATTATGTGATATATTAGCGCAATATAACTTTTTGATTAGGTCAGCTCTTGCAACATGCTTATCTCGTGGTATATGTCCTGTATACGATATTGCAGGATATTCATACTTTTACTTGCATATATCCTAATGTATCTGCTTCTCGTTGTACCAGAAGAAGATATACAGGTAAAAAGATGTGAATGGAGAGTGGATGATTCGTATCTGATAAAATAACATTTGGCCAGGAGTTCGTAAGATTTTAAATATCAATACACAACTATATTCATAATGACACCAAAAGATTCACCAAATAGCTTACTAACTGTCTTCAGAACTCTCTACAACGCAAGAAAATGTTTCCTCAAAAGCTTAGGAAAGAATAATGGAAAACAGTAAACAATAATAGCTATTATGCAAGAATTTACAAATCACAAAAGTAAATATCTAGCAGTGACAAAAGCATGGAGCCTTTTATATAATAAGTCAAACAAATAACTTTTCTCCATGTCAATTAAATATGAGATCAAGAGAGATCAGAGGGAAAACTTGGTTCAGGATAAATGACATTTACATTTGTTTTTATTACAGAATCCCATTAGTACACATTTCATGGAATGCTAACAGGTCGTCTAAGTTCTGTTCATGTCTCAGGCTAAGATTGGCAGTTTGACATTAAGTGCAACACTACTAAAAAAAGGTCATCGTTCAGTGAATGCTAAGAACTCATTCATTTCAAGGGGACCTGAAGAGGAACAAATTGAGATACTTACATTAAGAATATCCGCATATTTAACAAGTGTTTTTGTAAAAGACGGTAGATCGTGCAGAAAGAAAGAGAAATGTAAAACGGAGGAGAGAACAAATCATATGATTTGTCTGTGAAGTGTTAGCTTTACTACCATTTTTCCAAACTCCGTTTTATTTCAACCCTCTTACTTAGACCATTCACTTCACTTACCTTCATTGGGTTATAGTACTATTTCTATCTTATCCCCTATTTTTGATTAAAATTAAAAATCGTATTTCTATTAATTATTTTCTCTCACAGTTTATGAATTGCTTCACAATGAAAGAGGGAAATCATATTGAATATGAAACAATGACATTTTATCATGCATTTACAATGGAAGTTGAAATTAGTTCAGCTACAATGTGGAATTTTTGGAGACATTGTCGACTTCCAGTATGTTTATTATTATCATTTTGATTTTATACTACTTGTTGAGACTTAAGTAATAGTTCTATGTGAGAAATAAATGTACATTTTCTTTAGTGCACAGAACTTTATGTTTCACTTGATAATCTTGTATAATTCTATGAAAAATATGCTTGATTCCTCTAGTATATTTCTAAATTTTTTGTTAACTGCTCAATGATTGTCTAGCTAGTGTCAGTATACAACCTAAGCAATATTCGACAAACCTCCCATGTTGACACTAATATTGTTGTCATATTTTTATGTAAACTAGGATACTGCCTGGACTGAAACAGGTGGTACTCTTTGAAGGTCAGTCCAGTAGCCTTCGACGTAAAATTCCAATGTACAAGACAATGAAGCAATGTCAGGAAAACGTAAAGGGATGATAGGCGACCTAAGTTGTTACGTATGCCATTCGTTTCTTTAGGACCGTGGAACCTATTCACGCTATTATTTTGGAATCAAGGTTTTCCAACTTTTATAGGCTAACCTTTCGTATCCTTTAACTGAGTCTAGAATCCAAATGTCCGCTGTTAGTTCTTCCACCTTCGTAAAATCTCTTCCGTCACGTGTAGGTAGTAAGTTGTAGCACTCTGGCAATGGCTGTCAACACAATTGTATGAGAGTGCATTTAACATGAAAGAGTAGACTGTCGTCACCCTCGACCATACCAAAACACTAAATTGAATACTTTTTTATTGTGTAAAGTATGTAAAGCGTCCGTTGCAATGATACTATTGGAGGTTTTGCATAATATTTTGCCTACTTGATGAATGGTCCATGTATATAATTTCACGGCGGAATATTTTATTTACCTACTTCGATATTTCTTTTTTCAGAATATTTTATGGTCTTTTGTCTTCTTTTTCAAGGATAATATAAGCTTACTTGTTTTTTTTCTAAATATTTCAGTCTGAACGCACACATTGCTTATTATATACTAAAGCTTGTTTATCAACATTAGCTGATTTATTGAATGGACTTGGTCGATTAATTAGCCCAACTGTACCAGAAACTCGGCCAACACGTTCTGCTCTTAGTCTTCATCTACCATTGATGCGTCATGTTTCTTGTTTTATTCATTTATCCACTATGCAACATGGTGTCAATGTAAGACAATTATTAGTTGATTATCTTTTACCGAAACCTCGTCTATTACGACGTTTTATGGAGCACTTAGTTAATATTTTGGTAAGTAATTGTTCCTTATCTTCTGAATATATACAAGCTTAGGTTTTATTTTAAAGATAGTTTTGTATCATAGGATAAATACTTCATCTTAATTTAAGACTATAGCAATTAGTGCACACTTTTGAATCTGCACGAAATTACATCCGAATAGCTTCAGATGATTTCGGAGTGAGCATTGATATCAGTTTACGATGAAGATTAGCTTCAAAGTAAAAAAAACTCATAAATACTCCTTTACTCAGTAACATGTTTTATTGTTGAAATTTCTTAATTAAGTTTATGGGGTTTTATGGAGATCAGTTTAATTTGGAGATTTTAATTATCACAGATTGATCTCATTCAGAGTATTATTTAACACTAGGATGCATTAAATAACTTGTTCGTCTTAGTAAAAGCATTACTCGTCAGGGGGCACTCATGGTCATGTTTGAGATGAAACCAGTAACCTTTATGTCTTAGGGTAAATACTTAATTGCTTTGACCTTAGGATCGACGTTTTATGGTATAATTTAAACTCCAATTGGTTTACGACATAACGCGACGATCACCTAATGTCATTAGTCATAACCATTGGATGCCAAACCAGTTTTCTGTTGGTTAAGCGTTCATCTTAGAACTTGATAGTCTTGGGTTTGACTCCCGAAAGGGTCATGAACTGAGATCAATATATGGTCATTGCAACCTACAAATTATATAGTTAAATTAACCAATTTTTGGTCTTTTCATTTCTGTTAGGTCTTTTTTTATTACTACTGTGAGTAAATTTATCTTGATTGAAAAACTGTTAAACAGAGTAGTTCAGTTTGGATCTTAGTGGCTCGTTGATATTTCTCATTTCGCTACCTAACTGCAACCGGATAGACTAATGAGTGAATAAATACATACATACATTTATACATAAACTACGCATGTGAAGCGATTCTTGCAAAGTGTAGGATGGTTTTTTGCCTGTCATTCTAGTCAATTTATAGCTATAACAAAAATATCTGAGTGATTCACATGTTTTAATGTTGGATTTTATTCTGTTTTTCAAACTGTTATCGTAATCACATGTTTATCTCGATTATTAAGAAAAGCTACTTATGATAGGTAATCTGTATCATAGATCTAGACTGTTGTCCTTAAAGCAGTTCAGTCACATGTTTGGTAAACAGCGAAGCTATTTATCATCTAGCTTAGTTTCACTACAATTTCATATTGTCATGAGGTTATAACAGTTTACTCACTTTAGCCTTATCGACTGTCCCTTCTATCGATTATTCTAGCTACTATTTCTTTTTGTCTAGAAAGTATGTAACAGTATAATGACCGATTCCTATCGGCAATAGTACCTCACTAACCAATGTTTTTGTTATGTCATTTTCGGCATCAAGTTAAAATAATTGCCAGCTTTTATTTACCACAAATATTTTTTATCAAATCTTTTGCTTTTCTTGTCGATTATTCCTTATGTATTTTAGAGCCTTATGAAAGTTAATTCATTTGGGGTAACAGAATCTGAGGTATATTAGATATCTGTTTCAGTTAAATTTTGGACTTCCCAGTTATGCTTATTCACAGGTTTCATAACAAGGCGGTTAATTTCAGCGAACTGATTTGAAATTCAATATTCACTTATACCAATCTGTCATGAAGTTTATGTACATGATTACTTGTGTTTATTCATGATTTGTTTATCGAAAATCTTTCCTTCTCTTCAAGGTCATGGAAACATCTGTTTTATAAATACAATATGTATTGACCACTCTGAAATCGATTTTTGAGTAATTCATAGTTTCCAGTTTCATAAGCTTTGTTGAAGAGTATAATACTATGTTTCAAGTTAGTTATTGTCTTACGTATAATTCACACACTTGCATTGACTTAATTATTCTCTCTGGATTTGTTATTTTCCAATATCAACTGAACCTATTCGAATCTTGTTTGTCATACTCAACTCTAGGTATCTGTCTATCGTAAATCCCTGTATTTTTTAATGTTAATTTTTAATTATTGTTGAAAGTCTTCTCAGTTTAAATAAAAAAATACGTACAACTCATTTGATAAGCACAGATATTTGTGTACAATTTTTACACGACATACATGGGTCGAATTAATTCTGATAAATTCTTTTTGAATCCATGACTTATTGATTGGCCATTGTGACTAGAATTACCAGGCAATGGAACCATGTGTGATATATATGTATACACTTACTTAAAACTACCAGTTTTCACATTTTTCTCAAATAATCATTTTAATTTCATTTATAGTTAGGTTGTCATGAAGTGCTTATTGGTTATTGGATACGTAATGGTCAAAGTGTTAGACAATCAGTCTCACATTATATGCAAAGTCAATTTTGTTATTCATTTATTGATTTGGATATATTCGCATTACAAGTAAACCAGATTTTTATTAGCTTTATCATATCTGTTTATTTACCCATTCTATAATAAAATAATTTTATTGAATTCCATTCTATGAAATATGTCTGTGAATTGGTCAGTCGGCTGAATGACACATGTGCAGAATGACCCTTCTTTCTTTCACTGTAGCACTAATGACTTTCGACTGAAGCATTATTTCAATAAGTGATATGTGTCCAGGCAGAGAATGATGGTCATTTTTTTAGAACGATGCTGTTTACAACTAGATCTTCATTAAGCTTTACTCTAATATTTAGGAATATTTCTATGAGAATATTAAATTAATCAAAACAATTTATTATGAGTCATTGGTCACAATGAACTTGGATTGCATAACTATACATAATAGGTAGGAATTGCAAGTTGATATTAAGAAGGCAAATGTACCAGAATAGTGGACGCTAATCACAAGGTTGTATGTAAGTAGTTTTTACGGGGATGTGGTATCGGAGTTGCAACAATTGTTAGATGGAGTGATGGGTTTCAGTATGTGGAGAGTGTGGCGTTGGCATAACACGTGCATACCAGACGAGAAGACAGTTCAAACCACAGAACACACCGAAAGACGTAAATGGAAGACTAAAGGCTATGTATATGTATTATGTAAATACTCTGTAACTTCTCACAAAACAGATACATTCCTCTTGCCTATTGTCGTGTGTTTACACTAGTGGTGATAAAAATAATATAATAATGAAAGTTTTGATCAGTAGTTCAACACAGGAAATAAGTTGAACTAACGAATGAGTGAATATATCCCTGTGTGGTTCAGAAATGACCAGACGAAGACATGACATAGTTCTCTTTAAGTATACCTGTTTGACAGCAATCATATAGTAGATTCAACCAAATCATTCCAAGTGATCTATCATATACCTTCAACACTCCTCAACGAAGTTCGATAACGTCTCCCACATATAGTAGAAGCAGTTACGATTCTAATCTATAACTTTAGTTTATGCATTCATAATAAATTCGTGAACCCCCAAATGCCCTGGTACGACCGAAATTGGGGAGAGTCCGCTCACCCTTTCGAAATGCTCCCGCGTGGCCACGCGTATTTAACCTCTGCCTGGGAAATTCTCATTGCCTTCTCGTGGCGGTGGTGTTGTTTACGAAATTGAGAGGACGAAAAGCGAATGTCCAGCGCTTTAACCGGGTTGGTGGACATGGAGAGTCCACCTAGAGGAGTTGGAAAACCCTAATTCAAAACTAATGGTGCACATGCGCTCCAGTGCTCTGGAGGGACAAATGGCGTATGAAGCACTCGTTGTTCACCGGCTACCATGGGAATGCATCTCCTTACGATGCTCCACCACCTTGTGGATCAGACCTTTAGGTCGAAGGCTCCGGGTGTGACCCCCTAAGAAAACCACCTGCTTCGGTCGGGGCAACCGGGCAGTATCACAACCCTCACACATGAAATGAGATTTGTGTGGCGCATATGTATTTGATGCCTCCTTGTACCAATATCTATGTGTTCAAATAAAATAATACTTTTTATTATCTACCTATTTACACACTTCTTACATAGTTTTGATAATTTTTTATGATTATTATTTCAAAGTTTATTTATCCAAGTATGGCCCATGTCTTACGTTAAAATAGTGATCAAAAACTTTCATTACTTCATTATTCTTATCACTATTAGTACACTTGCTTTCTTACTATCAATTTGTAATTCCTACCTAGCATGTATAGTTATGCAATCTAAATTCATTGTGACCTTTGACTCATAATAAATTGTCTTGACTCATTTAATATTACCAGAATAGGGATTTGTGAAGATTGGTTGAAATTATCCATTAACACCGTTGGATGCCAGCTCAGTGGTCTAGAGGTTAAGTGTTCGCGTGCGAGATCGAAGGTCCTGGGTTGGAGTCCCACGTGTGGGATTGTGGATGCACACTTCTGATAAGTCGCTTACTAGGACGAAACTGTCATCCAGTGCTTCGAGGTCTTTAGTGCTGTCCTAGCTTAGGCTAACTCATGAATTCAATTAAGATACTACATTCTCCACAAATCCCCATACTAATATTACATAAAAGATCAAATTCAAATGGCTATAAAATTTAGTAATTCACGAATAGTTTGAAGATAATTCAACAGCCAATCACTCCACACTATAATGTTTCATCTTTTGTTGAATGAGTACTACAAGTGTCAGTAAATGTATTCATCTTATCCCTTGATAATTCTAGACAAAATGAAAACATTTATCCTATCACTTAGAAAAAGCAGAAAATTACTGTGGTTGTTTGTTGTTGTTGTTATTTGGAATCAATTCAATAAAACATATATTTATCATTATAATTTGTGTCGTAATTATATAATGAAAGTAAATTATTAATGAATATATTTGAACATGATTCCTTAATTACGAAGCACCAGCTTAAAAAATACTACAGGAGGGAATTAGGGCCTAGGAAGGATGAGAGATTGTACGTTCGTTTTTGTACGCAAAGGAATTCGATCTAAGGAAGGTCGAATCAAAAACTTCTGTACTGCTGAGGCATTGGCGAACCACCAATTCAAGCCCAAACTTTGAGTACAAAAACAATACGTCCGACCTCTCATCCTTTGTTGACCCTAATTCTCTTCTGTAGTATTTTTTAAAAGTTAGTGTTAAGTAATTTCAAACCGTAATCAGTTATTATTCCTTAATTCTTAATGGAATTAAAATCATTTAAAAGGCAAGTAAGATAGATATTTTTTCTAGGTTGTAGATATATCTAACTGATGAATGTTTTTCGAACAGGAATATTACTTTAGATGTATTTTAATTGCCTGTTATCACATGAAACTTGAATCTATGCTTTATATAATAGATTGATTATAGCTAAATGTAGAATCTAAAATGCGTGTTTCGTTGTATTTGGGACAGGAAAGTTGGATGAAATTATATATATAACATTGTTAATATTCACACTTGGACTCGATCTCAGCACCTTTTACTTCAGTTCCTAACACATTATTCATAAATTATGGACAGCCTCCAAACAAAGGATGTGATGTTTATATCAGTATTAGTAAGAGTTTATGTTATCGTACTATTGATATCTGGGACAGTTTTTACCAGTCGTTGTTGATGTAAGACGAAACTGATAGCCATAACCTGTCTACTCTAAATTACTGAGTAGATTTATGAAGATACATATATCAACAGAAACTGAAAAAAAGTCAGTCCTGAACATCAATAATATGAGAACTCAAATCGTTACTGATACTAATATTTAGTACATGTTATACTTTTTTAGAGAAGTGTTTGTCGCTTTATTATTATTAATATCAATATTGTGTTTTTTTCCCATAGGTATGTACCGCTTTGTTACCGCCTGCATATTTTTTGAATGCTTTAGTCGATCAAACAAAACTGTTAAGAGGAATTTGTTTTCATAATGAATTGTTAAGCTTGGTTTCAGAACCGGAAGTGAAAAATCTTGACCGTAAACCAATGGCTTTACAAGCTTGGCTAATCAATTTATGTTGGATATTGGATCTGCGTAATAATCTAGGTTAGTAAAAAGTTATATATATATATATATATGTATATATGATGTGAATTGACCTTAATTAGATAAACATTAAAAATCAAGAAGGACTGGACAACTCATTCGTGCTAGTAGAGTTGTGAAGAATAATTAGAAAGTAGTACGAAAAGTAGAACGATAGATTATGGAACATAGAAAGGGAGGTTAAAACTGGTCGAACGAGTGATTGGACATTCTATTTTTGTACTCAAAGCTTAGGGTTGAATCAGTGGATAGCTATGATCCCTTTTGTACACAAGTATTTCTTTAGAAACAATTTTTCTGACTGTATGGATGATTTTAAATGAGTATTTTGGTGAAATAGAGCAAACACAATCAACTAGATGCTCCAAGATTGATCTTCTCAATGACATTTTTAGTCATGATTGGTCTGGAAGAAATATAGGTGCGACCGAACCAGAGTGTATTATGAGTTCATAAAGTTAGTGACAACTGAACTAGGTCATGTTAGTGAGTGTAGACTACCTGGTTGGGGTCCGCTTGATTATCGCAACTGTTGGTTAGAAACTTTGAATGACAAGGCTTAAAATTGTTTGCAGTTGCTCAGTTGCATCCATTAATTGTTTTTCTCCAACTTCTGAGCTTCTCAATTGCTCATAATGTCTTTTATGTCTTTACTTCACTAAATTGTTTGTTATTGAATCGTATTTTCGATGCGTAATCTTTTCTGTTAACACTAATACTGTTACTATCTTTACCATTGTGAGATTTGGCCCTGACAATATCACTTCTGTGTAAGTGGGTTGTGTCTACTTGAACCGATGTACATACGTACCAGGTTTAACGTTGCAAGTGATTGACCGACTGATCTATCTATTTCTCGCTACATTTTTGACGTCTGATTACTTTTTAGCTGTGTGGAATTAATTTAAATCCTTTATTTATTATTTTTTTATCCACTTGTATTTTATTTTTTTAGGACTAACCGAAGAAGAATTATTACAGAAAGAGCTTGTTTCTGTGTTAGCTCCAGAGCCTCGAAAACGTAGTGATTTGTCTATTCTAATTCCTGAACGTTGTGGTATAATTAATCCATCGAATAATTTAGATTCAGTATTAAAAATGGTCAGTAATCTCTCTTGTTTTTTTCGCTCTATCACATCTCTCTTTGTAATATCTATTAAGTCATCATTGAAGGTTCGCACGTGTTTCTAAGTCTGTACAGTTTTCTACTTATATCTTAAACACCAAATAGGTGTCTGAATTTTAATTGATTTTTGACTCCGAATCGTTCAAAACTACATATGTTTATTTCTAAAGAAAGTTTCCTGTTGATAAGACTTGATCTCTTTGTTTATTCTATTTTTTGTTACAAAATACTGACTAAGGATATCAACTCATGTGAGAATCGTTGCTGAATTAATGTCTTAATAACAGTCTTGTACAATTGGAAACAGATTCATTTTAATCAGTTGTTTATTTATATATGTATGTTGTCAATTTTTTTGGTTAGTTGCTATCTACTAGGCGAAAAATCGATTTTTTAAAATGCCTTTCTCACATCTTTTAAAATTCATCTTCACCTCTTCTCGGCTTGCCGTATTTTAGTGTTTCTTTATTTAAAATCGCTTTCTCAGGTGGCTACTTATTCTGCACCGTCATGTGATGAAACTTCCGGTAGTCTTATCAGTGGTCATTATTACCTTCGTCCTAGTTTATGGCATACTGATTTCGATCCGATTTTTCACTTACTTCGTGTAACTAGTCGAAGAGAATCAAGTCTAGCTATGGAAAAATATCGGGAACAGTGAGTTTTCATATTTTACCGTATGTTTGTATATTATTATTTTTTTTTTTGTGGAGTTGCCACATATTATTTACACATTGCAACTATCTGAAATGAAGTTGGTTGGGTATGATACAATAATGTGAACTTTTAACTCAATTGATTGAAGCTGAATATATTAATCAGTCGAACATTGTTTAGTGTGGTTAAGCTAATAACTGGTTCTTAGTGGAAATATGTACTTTCAAGATGTATGCATGATGTGATTACAAATTGATCATACTAATGCAAATATTTACTTATTATAGTTCTTCCATTTCGTTGATCGTTCTTCATTTTTGTTTTTGAACGAAGAATATTCTTTTGGATAAATTCTCTTCAGTTTCAACAATTCTATATCCAAATTAATAATCCAAAAAAAATGGCCAGGTTAAGGGTAAAGTACATCGTTTAAAGTTAAAGCATGTGAATTTAGGATTGTTAAACAAAATAGAGTAAAATTGTTAATGTTGATACGACTCATATGGAATGTTAACTTGAATCAGCGTATATGTTAAGTAGAATTTTAAGATCCATGATCAGAATAAATATGGGTCAAATAGGGTGAGAGAAATAATAGTTCAATTACAATTCTATCAAATAAGTAAGACGTAATACGGAGGGATGAATGCGAAATGAATGAATCATGTATAGGGGAGATTAATTGTAAATTTAGAACAGCATATATAAGCGAACAATATTGTTTTCGATTAGATCCTCAGGCTTTACTCTAATATACAGTAATGTATTTACATGCATGTGCGAAATTACTAAACCAATCAAGGTAGTTTATGAGTCAATGAAAACAATGGTATAGATTATATAATAAGTGAAAAGTACAAATTGGTAGTGCGATAACAGTTGCATTAGTTTTGATAAGAATAATAAAGGCTCAAATCAATGTTACATAATCTGAAATAGGTCAATGATTAGAAAAATATGGACAGTGAGATAACATTTATAAAATTATAAGATGACGTAATAAGAAGTGTTCAGATAATTGGAACGTGAAACGTATATTTGAAAGAAAATAAAATAAGATGGTAGGAGGGGGTGAAGAAAAATAATAAACGTAGAGAAGGTTTGAAGAAATAATAAATAAATTCATTTATTAAGGCCAAGGGAGAGATAAAGGTGTTACAAATTTCTTCTGAACACAAAGACTTGGCTTGTTGGTTCGAATTCCTATAGCTTCATATATGCATATAAATATTACTGTATATTCGAGTAAAGCCTGATGAGGATCTAATCGAAAACAGTATTGTTCGCTTATATATGTTATAAATTTACAATCACAATTGACTACGAAAGGTCATGGTCAAATTAGGTCACTCGATAGTTAAGATTACAATTGATTAATTGGCCTTGATATTGGCCAGGGGAGGAGGAATGGTTGAATATATTTCTTCTGTACGCATAGCTCCAGTTTCTTCATCCGGATGGCTACTGCTTCAACCGTTTGAAGGACTTTCAGCCTGATCAGTTTTGGCAAAAAAATTACTGGCCTTATAAATAATTGAAAAATATTGGTTTATACTGGCACGATGACCGGTTTGTACTAAATGGGCCAATATTAAGCTGTTCAATTTCTTCATCAAACCTTTGTTTAGCCACGCTGGTAGATGTTCACGAGCACGAAAATGTAAATTCCTAGAACTTCGACCAATATAACTCGCTCCACAGGAGCAATCGCACTGAATAATACAAAATGAGGTAGTCATTCTAGGTAATTCATCTTTTAGCCTCGGTGTAACTATTGGGCGCGTAGAAAATATTAATCGCATTTCTCTGGCGTTAAAAGACTTGTGTATTATCCTTAGTTAATATTTCACTAACCGCATCTCCTCTGAATTGTAGACGCATGAACAGGGTTTTCTTCACTGTTTGTATTTCACCTATTTTCGCCTTCGTGACACTTAATTGTAAGCTTTCTAGGGTAGCGGTTCTCCCTGAGAGTATTATGCAAGGTGTTAACCTCTTGTTCAACTATATCAGCAGAACATATAGTGCGTATACGGTAACTAAGGGTTTTGATCAAGTTTCTTTTGTACTGTAGAGGTACAAAGCTCAGGAAATTCATATACTGCACAGTCCATGTACTTTTTTAGTTTAAGTTCCTTTTTAACGATACATCCGCTTTCATAGTCAAGAGAACGTCCAAAAAGGCTCTTCTTCAGATGTAAACTGAATGGCTGGATGCACTTCATTAAATCGCCTAAGAAGCTCTTGCGGCGACGTATTATCTTTACAGAGGATGAATGTGTCATCCATGTATCTACAGTAAAATGTAAAGTTTTCAATAATCTTTTTTAGTGGACCATTTTTTAGTTTGGCCATTTTTCGGATTATTAATTTGGATATATACTTGTAGAACCTGAAGAGAATTTATCGAAAAGAATATTCTTCGTTCAAATACTAGTCTTTTAATATGATGGGGATCTTTAAAGGATTTTCTATTTTTGTTTTATTCATTGATCTGAACATTTTACTCTTAATACTATTAGACGATTTTGTAAAATGTGATGAAAGGATTATTTCTTAATTATCTTATTTATGTTGGTTCTTTTTTATTTTCGATCTTCTGTTCTTCTAATTTTCACTTGTACTTTTCAAATTTTTTTTATCAGTTATAGGGGAAAGACTATTTAGCCATTTGTTTATCATAAAAACCAAGTTGCATTGTATTAGCAGTTTTCAAAATATTTCTTTTACAGTCCTTGTAGTGGAATCCTTTTTTTGTCTTTTTTTGATTGGTGAAACGTTATTGACCAGGGCGATACTAATATTTGTTACATATAGCCTAGAAACTGGCTATTACATTATATTGTATTGGAAAAAGGATAGACGGGGTTAAATCAATACAGTCAATATCAATAGTGTGTGTGTTTTAATTAGGAGTTTCATACTTGTTGTATTGAGTTTGTGAAATAATCGTGGTATATGAATGAAGATCATGTATAAAATGGTTTGTAGTCGATTACAGTAACACAGGTGCATTCTTCATTTCATCTTCTAAATTATGAACTTGATTATTACTCTTTACTTCCACCATTGTCTTTTAAACTATGTGTCCTTGGTGTATATTCATCTTCCACTATCATTAATTCTGTTATTTTTACTATTTCGCTTTTTATCATCTTAATGTTATTTCTTTATACTAATGTTGTGATATGTCACAAGTTGAACCGATGTATATGTATCATCTAGATTCTACGTTTTTATGATTGCCTAGCAATTAGTAAATTATTACGAAACTTTCGTGAAAGTATTAATTTAGAAATCCTCAATATGATTCAAATATTTTTCAATATTACTAATAATAAACTTGCAGAAGTTTTCATATTAAATAACTTCACACAACATTTTACTTGGAACTTTAGAGAAAGCTTGGTGAGCAAAATAACTAACTAATAAAATTTTCATCACAGATTAACCTTGGACATTTATTAAAATCGGTAAGCACCAGGGAGATATTTTGTCCCACTACAAGACTCTTAAGCAATGTTCATCCGAGACATCATCATGGATCGGATTCAAGACTCTTCAGGCCTGTCGGCGAGCACCTAAGATTTAGGTCACTGAGTCGGCATCCGATGGTTCAAATTCTAACTCTGATCAGTCAACAGCATTTCTCAACTATTTTTCAATTCCATTAGTCGGTAATTGTCTCACGTTCAACATGGTTAAGCTTCGTTAGTTGCGGCTTTTCATTGAATCTGTGGGAATTACTTTTCGAAGTTAGTCACTCATAAGTACATAATTACTTTTAGTACAAGGGGTTTGTGTAGATTGTTAAGTTTAACAATCCACATCACGAATTAACTTTAGTCAATCAATTCTGTATGTCTCACAAGGTCAGTCCATGATAAATCATAAAATGCAATCATCTTCGTAAACTTTGCATGCTAGTTACTTATTAAGTATTCAATATTAAAAACTACCTCGAATATTGATTTTCCTGTGAATCGCATCGTTTGAAAAAGCCGAAAAAGTAAACATCTAATAAACATGTATCTATCATTAGATTGTTTTATTGTATGAATATCAATCCTAGTTGTTTGATTTATTTCCTTATGACTGAGTGAATGACCGTAATTATTGTTATTACTATAAATATATTATAAGATTATGATAATAATTATTAATATTTTAGTTGTCGCCAACGCCATGGTGTTACAAATATGTCTTCATTGTGGCCACCATTTCGTAAACCGAAGCAATTGCCACCAGATTTCCATGGTCTGGATCATGTACTACATAGTCGTCATTTACATTATATCATTTTTATACAACTCAGTTTAGTAAGTTTTACCCTATATATATATGAGATAGAGATTTGTAGCTCAGGTGAATGATTTTGATGGAATTTTTTTCTTTGAGATAGACTTCTACCTGATGATGTCGTTCAGTAGAACGATGAAATCTCCACGACCAAACCATCCAGCTCAGAGAAGAAACTCCCTCAAAAAATATATAATCTGTATAACTTACTATTGTGACTTCGTTTAGTTTCTTCGAAGTGTGTATATCCTTTCCATGTGCTACATAGTGCATTGATTATGGATATGTAATGATAATCATGAAACCCTCTTTCAATATGACCTATTAATATGTACATATATAATGGTAAATTCTTTGAAAAGATGTGATTCGTAAATTGTTTTAACTGAACATTTGTTTCAAAGATTTTTATGACATGAAGCTGGCGAAATATAAAATCGAAAGTGACAGCATCTTCAACGGAGCATATACTCTAACACTCATCAGTTTTATAAACATAGAGTTGTCCTTAGTAAACAGTGACGGAAAAATATAATTACATTGCGAAAGTAGCATAGCTACAACGTAATGAGTATTTTAAAATGATAGATGTTGCATAGGATGCTATATTTAGAAGGCAGTATTTTTTATCAGGTGGAACTTGAGAATCAGGTTTAAGAATGAACAATATGGCAATGACTATCCCAATAATATGGGGTATATATAATTATCTACATCTAGAAAAAGAAAAAGAAAAACAGAGAGCACGGAATAGCAGCTACACAGAAATAAATTAGTATTGTATATTTGTCATCAAATATGTGTTGGAGTGTTTCGTGATGTACTGATTAAGATTTTATTTGAACCAATAAATTGTTCTACATTTATCGTTTTGATAACAATGTAAATGATACTATTAAGATGAGATAGGTTTCAGACTAGCCATGAATAATAGCATCAGGGATTCATAACATAAATTTGTAATGAAATCTACGAATAAAATATCAGCATGATGAAGAGTTTATTAAGCATTTACGTATTTAATCCCATATAATTCTACTAAAGGAACGAGGTTTGCTCCCTAGTGTAATTATTATTCCCTACCACATATTTATATATGTTTACTTCAAAACAATATTTCGGAGCGATCCATCATTTGTTGTTGATGATCCCGGTGCAAATAATTTCTCTTACAGAAGTAGTTGGATATTGAGCCAACTACAACTACACAGAAATTGATTAACATGAGTGTTATTGATATAGTACACAACTAGGAGAAATCAACATTAATAATCAGATATTGAAATTGAATTTGTTGAAGAGTATGTGAAAATGGACAGTCTACGTGGAATCATACACCGTTAAAGATTTAATGACAAACACATAGTCATTTCAGCTACGCTATTGGTATGAATCGTGACGTTTATCGCTTAACTTCCTCATTCGCTTAATTGTGTTATCTCATCTTCCTTTTTTGTGGACTTGGGCTCAGTAATAACTAAATTTGATGGGGGACTTTTAGTTACTCCTTATTTCTTTCATACTGCTACGCTGTCAGTCAGAATTGGACATTAAGATTATTATTTCAATTAAATTTATGTAAAATTGTCTCATCAGACTAGCTAAGTTAGCGTGTTCAACATAAATATAACATTATCTTTTATGTTATTTTTCATCATACTATACCATGTGTTAGCCACTGTTCAGTTTAAATCAAGATTTCATTTTCAATTCTTTGACATTTTTTGTTGTGTTGTACCGGATTGACTTTTGTCTTTCAATCCCATCATTCTCAATTTATTTCTATTTGTTAATATCATCAGTTTGTCTATGGTGATCCACTTGTGACAGAAGAAAGCTTAGCTATGATTATTCATTTAATCAATCGAGCATTAGACACCCCGTGTCGTTCGCCAGGAAATAATAGAAAAACATGTGCTAAGGTTAGTCTACCCTCTTTCTCTATAATATTTGTAGTAAATGATTTGTAGAAGGTTTTATTTTGCTGACAAATACACATATTCAAATTTTAACACCATTGACTAACCGTGCTGAAATTATCACTGAAAATGAAGAAGCGCTGGTCAACTATTTCGTCTCAATGGAGAATTATTCAGCAGCGTGCATCCACGACTTTACTAGAGCTTGAACCCAGGACCTTCAGGCCCCACTACGACCGCTTAACCGTCAGATATCAGGCTTGGTATTCAACGGTTCATATTTCTAACTTCAATCGATCCACAACAATACACGACCATCATCCATTGCCATTGTCGATATTTATTGCACATCCCACTATGTCTCTGGCCTTGTTTTCTCATCAGAGCTCCGAGGATTGGTTTATGGTTCCCTGTTGACTTCCTTCAACCACCCAACACCTTGACTAATATGTGTATATCTTAATGTTCATGGTTTAACATGATACCATCAGTGTAAGTCAAGATAATAGTTTAAAGGTATATTTAGTGAGAGAAATTACAAAGTGCTTACATAATAAGTAAGTGCCCATCTACATCTCACAGTGTATTCTGCAGTCCAAACTTTCTTCTTGTCTGGTCAACAAGTGTTCTCCCTATGCCATGCTTTCGATGTACTGAAACTCCTCGCTCCGTCTGTTGACTGTGACAATTTCGAGGTCACGTTCATTTTTTTTAAACTTCTTACTAATATATCATACGCGTTCTTTTTTATTTTGGAACATTGAATTTATGTATTAATATACGTATTCCTCATATCCAATTTTTACTTTTCCTAATAAGATATTTATGGAAAATCAAGCATCCAAGAGTAGTGAATCAAATTTACCTACATTATCATTGAATAATGTTAATAATTATGCTACTAATATCAAGCTTTTAACTGAACAAAAGCAAACAGAAGAAATAAACAAAATGCAGCAACAACAATCATTAAAGCAAAAAGAAGATTTAATTACAGAAAAATGTCAAAATGCTCTCATGGATGACTTTATTATGGATTGGGAAAAGGGCAGATTTGAAGAAGTTTTGGAAGATACTGACTCAGATAGATTAGATCAAATTGATTATGATGATGATGATGATGACGATGAATATGGCGATGATGTTGATGATGATCATAATGATGAAACTGTTGCAGGTGTTGGTAGTTCAGATGATCGTGATTTAAATGAATTAACTATTGATTCACAACGTATTAATAATAAACAACTACGCACTAAAACTCGTAATTATCGTACATCGCATATATGGCGTCGTCAACCATGGAGTTCATTATGTCCTTTGCCATCTACTCCATCATTTTCATCATCGTCTAATACAACTACTGCTACTAATCCTCCTACTAGTAATAATCGTCAGAAAAATTTTTGGGATACTAGTTTAATTAATTGTCCATATGAACCACGTACAAGTATACAAGATAATTTAAGTCGTTGGCTTATGATATCAAAGCATAATATTCCACAAGTTTCTTGTGCTCAAGTTATGCTTGCTAGTCTACCATTGAATCAAGGATCAGATTTAAATTGCACATTAAATACAGTACCTGTTTTAGTAAATAATGAAGTACAAAATGGTTCCAAAAAGTAAGTTCTTTTTTATTCCTCAAAAAATAAATAATGTTTCATGTAAGTACATAAAATGATAAAGATCATCAACTTACAATCTGAGACGGTTGTGCGTTAGCCCAATTCGTCACAGATGGTCATATCGACATGAAAATAACAAAAGAGATCAATGTAATATAATTCCAATGATGGGAAGAACAACTAAACTTTGGGAATATAGTTTGATAAGACATAGTGAAAAGATATATGCGAAGGAATATTGGAATTCAAGGTTGAGAAAAAGATATAGAGTGAATACATCTGCTCTATCGCGATCGATTTTGAATCATGTCACCTAAAGTCTCTAACCATTGGTAGCGGTTATCTCGTGGACCCCAACCAAGTATTTTGCCCTTACCTTCATGAATGGGACCAACACTCAATGAATTAATGGACTGATGCCAACTTAATTCTGGACTAGCTAGCATCACTCATCAATGTAGGCATGCCTAACACATGTCTTAATTATTTCAGTATGTTTGCCACCTTTACCAAGTACTGTATTTTTAACCTCAACACTGCTCACTAGTATAACTGTATGAATACGTATTGACAGAACGGGAGGGTGATATTTCAAGCACTGTCATTGTTGAAACTATTTCCCAATACTAAAGATGGAATTTCTAAACGTTGCTGCTATTTTCCCTGTCACGACGACTCAACCGAGCTATATTGGCTGGACTACATGTTCCTTCAGGTCCTCGCATGCCTGTTAGGTTAGTTGGGAAATGATTAAAACTGAAAGGACACACTTGAGGTCCGAGGGCGACGTCGTACTGCTGACTGTAGAGGGATGTGACAGCAGTAAGGTATTTCCTTCTGATAACCAGCATCTGCAGCGATGTTACCTTTTCATCGTCATTCCATTCTATTTCTGTGTGTGGGCTGTGATACTGCACAGGTGCCCAGATAGAAGCAGGTGGTTTTCTTAGGGGGCCGTGCCCCGATCCTTTAACCTAAAGGTCTGACCCACAAGACAGTGGAGCATCGTGAGGAGATGCAGTCTCATGGTAGCCGGTGATCAACGATACGATCATACGCTATTTGTTTCCTTAGGGTCCTGGAGCCCATGTGCACCATTAGTTTGGAATTAGGGTTTCCCCACTCTCCTAGGTGAATTCACCGTGTCCACCGGCGTGGTTAAAGCGCCGGACATTCTCTTGTATGCACCTTACATTTTTTCTCTTCCCATTCTCACTGCTTTGTGTCGCGCATATATATTTGGTGCCACCTTGTACCAATATTTATGTGTTCAAATAAAACAATAAGATGATAATACCTTTTCACCTCGGAAGGAAGGTGTCAGAAAAAGTCTAACCTAAAAATGTCACACCTCACCTTATCATATGGACTTCTATCTCACTCGATGAAGTCTTGTAAAATGGAAAGCTAATATATCAAAATTGTCCTTTAAAAAGGCCGTGCGTGATCTACGTCAAGCATTTGTCCTTCGAACTCTGCGGTCATGCTAGCAGGTCGCTGAGACCAGCTTTTTTTCCTCTTTACGAATTTATTTCACTGGATTATACTCCTTGAATAACATCTTCAAACTCTAATCTTTCCGATTACTGCTTATACTTTTACTACGTCTACCACTATGGGATTTGAATCGACAATTGTATCTGTGTGCTAATGTGGTATGGAAACTCGAACTGATGTATGTACGTACGAAGTTCTACGTTGTTGCTGACTGACATTAACCTTGTACATTGCCAGTCGAGTCAGAGTTTATGGGGAACTGTCATCAGATTTGGTTATTTCAATATTATTCGTCAAGGTTGTCAGCTTTCCTCATTTTTATTTAACTTTTTCATCGATATGTTTTTCGACATACATTTCCATCGTCTGACTTTTTAGTGACTGATCTACCAGAAGATTCAATTGCTGGCTTATAATACTCAGATAATATAGTTCTGTGTGGTGAAGACGCCGACTAATACTTTTTTCTGACCATCTCAAGCAACAATGCAAACATGTTTTGCATACGGTTTTCTCCCCAAAATGTAAAATTTTACTTCAGTATTGGTTTGAGTCATCACCTGAATTAGTTGAGTATGTCGACTGCTTCACTTATCTTGGAAGTCTCATCCGTCTTGCTGGTCTAGTGTTTGACTAAATCTCGGCACGGATTTAGAAGGATCGGTTAGTTTTTGCCAACTTGTGTAACATGTGGCGTAGGTCAGATTTCATTTTCACAACGAAAAGACGAGGTTACTGGACAAACGTTCTCTCTGTTCCTTTTTATGGATGTAAAACGTTGCCACTAAGAATAGAGGATATTAGTGGGTTACTAGTATCCGATAATAGGTGTCTTTGTGTTATAACTTGTAACCTGTTTGCTCTGTTAATGTATGCGTAATGATACCGCTAATTAGAGAGCAGTGGATTATCGACCGGACCAACGACGCATAAAACCCGTGAGAGCAGTCTAGAGTTTTTATTGGCCCTGCTTCGTGCCTAGCCCAGCCAGTTAAATCCAGAACACCTATCGTCAGCCTCTGCGATATGAATAATTTATTTCAAATGTACTCAGTTTATATACCAACCGGACAGACCATATCGTACCATAAAATATGAAAGAACACTTGTACAAGATTCAGCCAAAAGTGGCTGTGAATATGATAGGTAGTAATTAATAGACAGGGCATAATTCAAGAATCGTAAATCGTAGAATAATAGTTCATAGGTTAAAATAAAGTTCATAATAAGAGGAACATGAATATGTATAGTTTAGTTATTTCACAATTATGCAATAAAAATATACGCATAGTATTGGTCCATAAATGGATCCAAAAAGTTACCGTTCATTATGCTTATCGGGGCATAATACTTTGAAACATTGCTGGTGTATTTTGGGACCATAGAGTATACAGTGAGTGGTTTCGGAATATATTACTAGGTATGCATGGTAAATTGATTGGTGAGGTAGTAAGTGTTCGTTAGGTTAGTCGTTTGAATGTGTGTTACGTATGCTCACTCAGTGCGTATTTGGACAGGTGATGTTGTGTGGTGTATAATTGGTCTGGAAGAAATGTAGGTGCGGCCGAACCAGGATGTAGTATGAGTCCATAAATTCAGTGACAACTGAACTAGGCCTTGTTAGTGAGTGTAGACTGGCTGAACGATGGGATTAAATGAATTCAGTTTGAGGTGGTGCTGAACCTAATGGTTAAGATTATAGGGAAAATTATGGATTTTTATTCTATTTACCGAATTATCATAAACCCATGTTCACCAAATCAGTTGTCTCCAGCCATAACTACATTTGGTAAAAATACTAGAACTATCATAATCTGGCAAATAATTAAAGAAAAATAATTAGTTGGGAGATTGATTTAATCACAATAAGCATGATGTTCTCGATGAGATGAATATGTAACGACTGGTAAGCATTTTCATAAACCCATTACTTGATAAATAACAATATCTCCACTTACATTCATTCTTTTTATACATGAGCATCATTCCTTTCTCTACGTCTAGTAAGTGTGTTAGTTCCTGATTGTTCTGAAAAAATTCATATTCTGCTATAATTTTTAAGTAACAACTGAGCAGTCGTAGGTGTTCAATTTTATGTAAACTATTGATACATAATCATAGTCTTATTTAATGACAATTTAGTCCTTATTTAAACAATTAAATAAGGTTTGTGTGTTTATGGGAGTGGATGGAAAATCATATGTAAACTACTCATTTCTGGATCATAAGCTTCTGATTTTAAACCACTGGTTATTGAACTTTTTGAGATCTCAATAAGTTATACTCTGGTTAGCGAAAGTCACGCATTGTGTGTATATGTATGCTAAATCCTCTGAAATGGATTCACTGTGTTGTAAATTAAGTATCTTATTTAAGAGGAAAGAGTGAAATCTTCACAGATTAATTTCTTTGTTTTAAATGCTTCAATGGTATGTTTTTCTAACGAAATGAATTGTATAAGTCATTAAAGTAGAAAATAAAAATGTTAAGAAAATAATGCATATAATAATTCTCAAATTCATAGTTCTAAATGCGTATTTTCAAATATTTTTGTTTTCAGTATTATGCTGGATAGTATTATTTCTTTACTTATCAAAGCACATGCTCGTCTTTACTGGAGTCGTATTGTCGGTGGAGCTGACGCTATCCCAAAAATTTCTCTCGGTGGTTCACTGTTCACTGATCCTAATTTAACTGCGCAACAATCTGGAATGACAGACTCATCAACGATGGTAACAACAGCAATGCCGGTTATGAATGTAGATGGCAATAATCCTATAACATTAAGTCAAGACCAAGTTGATGACAGTTGGGTGGATTTTCTTAACGTTTTCCCAAAACACAATACTGTTACTCCTGCTACTACTACTGCAAATAATAATTGTCTAACTCCTCGTTGTATGGCTGTTTTAATGCCAAATGAACCACATGAATGTTCAGATTTGAATAATTCCAGTAATCCTACTGTATCACCATCGTTTGCATCTAATAATGTGAACCTTAACCCTTCAATTATTGCAAATCTCCCTCCTGAATTACGTTATTTCGCTTCTACTAAACCAACTTATTTCCTACCGGAAGAAAGGAATGAATCAACATATCTTCGAGAATCAATAAATACTAGTGAGTGTACAGTAAGATGTTACGGGGCCTTTCATAGTCTTCATATCTCATTCAATTTGTTAAAATTTAACTATTGTTCAGTTCGATAATTATGGAGAAATTAAATCAATTTAGAGATGGTTGTCATCATCAATCTATTTCATCGAAACTTAGAGATCACCTCCATCATTGCTTGAAAATGGTTAGTTAAATAGTTCAGAATCGATCACAGCATAGAGGATGTGTCCACTTATTATTTTTCTTCCAGATATTGTGTCACAGTAATTCATCATAAATACATTCCTTTTCATTTCATCTTATCGAACCACATTCTCAATGTCTAGTCTTTCTCACTAATCTTGTTACTGGAATTTTTTTACCCTTTAGCTGTTCACTACATTAATTTTTATCATGTCTTAGTGATATGGTATGGTTAATTCGGCTAACGTACATTTATTCAGGGTTCTGCGTTGATTATCTCTGACTGACTAAAAAAATAGCAAACACAAGAGAACTACTACTTTTTCGTGTCATAATTTCATCAGTACACAGGCACTAAGCTTCTTGGAATGGAGTCCAAATCTTGTCGTGTGTAAAATATCGTTAAACCATTCATTTGAACTACCATGGTTTTCAATTTCTGTTTGAGTCATGCCCACTCAGTGATGAGTAGTTTCAGACAAGGACGAGGTCAACTTTCCAATTCGCTCTGGTTCTTGGTGATAAGTCTTTTGTTGACGAGTTTTTTTCCCCAAAACCCATATATTGAAAGTCGTAATAATGGGAAGGTTTATCAACTCGACTGATTTTAGTGGATTTTTGTTCTCTGAGCTGGATAGTTTAATTGTGAACCTTTAATTGTTTTTCTGAATAACACCATAAACGGAAAATTTAGGTAGTCTGTAATAAACTATTGGCCTAGGTTTCGTGCTAGCTGGCACTTGTCAGCAAAGCATATCTTTTAAACAATTAGTCCCTTTGATAAATTTCGATAATCCAATGAGAAGACGAAGTTTGTCAGAATTATGTGATATGTTTGCACAATACATTTCGAACAATCTGACCACACATATACTTGTTTAGAACATTTATATATGAAAATTAAAAGGGCAACTAGACAGGTTAAGGGTAAGTCATAACAAAGGAAAAATAATAAAGTAAACAAACACAAATATGATTACTACTCTGGATAATAAATCAGTATTACCAGGGTAGGTAAGGACAGATTGTCCTTACCTACTTCGTCTTCTCATTGCATTATCGAAAGCATATCTTGTAAGAAGCTGTAGCATTCGAATCTGAGTCGCGCAGTTTCACAGTCGTAGATGTTACTAATTGATCTGCTAAGGTCTTATGATATTCTCGTCTCGTAAACTATTGGTATTTTATCATTATTTATCATGATTGCAAATACGCAGTTTACTCGTTTTTTCTTCAATATTGTTTTTTATCCAGCAAAAAGTTACAATTTCACCAGCTCATTAACAAACAATGATGACAATTCTCTAACAACAACAACAACAAATGATGTATGTCATTTCACCAACTTCGGTGATGGTGCCTGTTGGATAGAACGATTATTAGATAAAATTGCATCTCTATCAGAAAATAATAAATCTGCAATTAAAATGTATTTAGCTAGAGCTAGATCACCATATAAACAAGTGGTGCACTTGCATACACTCCAACCAATGGATGTTATTTCATCGTCATCATCATCAAATGTTGCGCAACAGTTTGAACAGAAGCAGCACTTCACTATGTCAAATAATTCCAAGAAAATGAGTAATAGTAAGGAGGGGATCGGTTTAAACAATGAAACTGACGTAATATTCAATATTTCATTTTCATCGACAAATGATGGGTAAGTGTCTGGAATGGGGTGAAAGCTGTTATACAATTCGTTCTTATCCACGGTTAAATAAATTAAGTTCTTTTTATTATAAAAATCTACTTCATTTGAATCGTTGTCACTTGCTCCTTCCTATATCAAAGTAATAATATAAACACACTCTGGATTCATCTGAACATTCATAATGACAATTGGTATTTCATGGAATTTGCTCATTTTCTTTGTTTAAAATAATAGTGATTTATGAATGTCAACTTGTAACAATGCATCTCCTCTGTAGATTTTGAACTATCCAATCTTTATCCCAGTAGTTAAGTATACATGATTTCCTAAATAAGTAATATATATGTAATATCTCAATGGGTCGGAAAATTAGATTTTCTGACGTTTCGTGACTTAGTGTAAGCCACTTCTTTAGAGAATAGATAAATTAATAGATGGTTTCAATAATCCGAAAAAGGGTTCACCTCTTAAAATCTTAATTTCGAATTCATGATGTTTAAATCATTTGGAAGTTTGTATTTTGCTTTTTAATCACCTTCCCCACATACACAGAACAGACCTAATGACACTTTAGGTTAAAAATCATATTAAATAGGAATTAAACATCACATAAGTTAATTATCCACATAGTTACTTTATTGTGATCAATGACTGAATCGTTTGTCGTAATTGACCCTAAATTTCCACTATATTATTTTAGGTTCAGTCATCATCGTATGTACTACTGAGATATTCGACAGTAGTCTGAAACTGTTACTTATAACTCATTCGTATTTAATCTTCTGTTGGTGATTAACTAATATAATAAATCACTTTTAGTACTCTTGTCCAAAGTCAATACGTGCTGAGTTCTATGTTATGTATAACTGACTGACTTTAAATTAGGTAATAAGATAACCTGTGACTATAAGTTTTTTAACTACAGTCCATCTGACATAAACAGTTCGTAGTTAAACTGAACATCAGATTGAACTAGGAAACGTTACCTATAGCACCGAAATTCCACTGCTACAATACTCACTTATGTATTCAGTTTTGTACTGCAATACTAACGGATGATTTGATTGGTGTTCAAGTATATAAAACGTATTTGATACCATGTACAGATCACTAAAAGTAAATACTTCATTCAAATAGATCATTCCTTGGTAACTCTAGATTAAAATGATTTCAACATCATCCAAAAGCCTCAATCTCTTCATGTTTACTGATAAACCTTACTGGCAAGAGTCATCTAACATTATCTCGAATTTTTACAATTACGAGGATTGTTGTTAGAGTGCCGAAAAACCAAAGCAGTATGAGGTTCTCCCATTTTTGCGTAGGTTGCTTGAATCTTCCCATTGACGTTTAGGACTACAATTGATCAGTCTGTCATTGGCATATGTGCATCTTGTGCGGATTGCCTTGATATCGCCTTACGTGAAAAGCATTGTAAACGGAGACGTGTGGTGGCTAGTAGTGGAATGAAGGACGCACTTTTTGTTCTATTTGTAATTCGTCAACTGGGTGTTCCTGTATTCCAGAATTCATATGTTCACTCCATGATTTGAGATTGATCAGTTGGATGGACACCGGATTCATAAAAGTAGTTAATTCAGAGGTAGTAATATATAAAAGAAAGATTGCGATAAGGATATAGTACAGGAAGAAAGAATTGGATGACGCGATGTCATTTGAAGCGAACAATATTGGGTTGGAGTCTTGGAGTGAAAATCGTTTGTAGGATGTAGGTAAATCTATCTGACTTGTTTAAAATAGGATGAAACGTGCATCCTGTATTCCATCGCTGGCTACCACCTCATCTCTGCTGAATATGATTTTCTGCTATTTGATTTAATACAGATCTGCACATTATCAAGTAGAAGTACTTTTTTGCTGAATAGCTCATCTCATGCAACTAATCTGAAATTTCCATATATTTTCATTTAAGTGTCGACTTCTTTTTTCCAAAAATCATATGATATTTGGTCTCGAGTCTTTTTCTGCTTTCTTTGTTATTATTTAGTAATAATTCTTCAATGAATCGAAATTCGCCGAATTCATCTTGTCTTCCGACATCAGCAGTTGGTACTCGTGATGAACGGAAACGTGCTGCACAAGAACGACGAAAGCGTCTTATAGAACAGATGACATCTAAGCAAAAAGCATTCGCTTCTACCCATTTAAAGGATATGGAATCACTGAGTAGGTTATACCAATACGTCATTTTGTAAACTGATTTTCCCTCACAAATTTCTGTATAAAATTATAGTTGTTGTGTGAGTACTTCATTTACAGTTACTCGGTAATCAGGTTTAGGTCGTCTGACATTCCGTGAACGAGTCTATTCTTGCAGATTCTATTTTACTAAGTGTGTTTTCTCAATATTTATTTACAATTCAAAGTTAATCCTCGAAGTAAACTGATATCAACAAATAGAGGATCACTGAGAATCAGAAAACACATTGAGACAATCGTTTTTATGCTGTTGTGCTCACTCAGTTCAATGTTTACGTCGTCATTCTGAGCAATGAACGCTTCTGCACCTTCAATATAAAATAGGGGCCGATGATATCCAATAAAAGGTTTCTTCATTTAACTCTGGCAGTCAAAGAACACAACACTATAAAAAATAAATCATTTTTACATAAACAACTGTCTCATCATGGATTATAGCTCCTTATCAGTGTGTAAAGCCGTAAGATATCTGGTTTTAATGAACATTAACTTTAATAAAATGTACTTGTAAGTGTAATCGTATCATTACTAGCAGTATTAGTTATTCATCTTAAAGCTTTCGTATTCATATAACAAGAGACAAAATTGAATTCATGCATCCCCATAATGCATATCATTTAATAAAGTTGGGTTATAGCTAGCAGTGGAAGCCAATACATGGGTTTCTTTTTAATTGGGACCCAGCTGGATTCCCCATGTTGTTATCTATACTGAGACTCGAGTCCACCAACTTTTTAACTCAAATTCTATCACGTTATTGAGTCTTGCATTTTGTTCAACGAGTGGTTATCGATGTTAAAGACTGGGCTTGCTCCGTTACTATTAGCCGATGTGCGCCCTGTACATATTGTTTTGATTTATTACCATTTACTTACTAACCTTTACAAATATACTCTTTAGTTGTTAAACATAACTAAATATCATGAACCATTGTGTAATTCAATATCCAATGGAATTAATCAATGATAACGTGGTAAAATCGATAAACAAAAATTTACATTTAACTGTGAAAAAATGTAATGAGAAAATTAGCAATAAAAGTGAAGTGGTCAATAGCAATCAATGTTCGGGGATTTTTAGAAATTACGATACATGATGGAGTAAAGTTAACTCAGTTGACCGATTGTCATTACCTGTAATATATATATATATTCTAAAGTCAAAAAATTTCGTCTTTACTCGATCAATCCTAGTTATTCGTTTTGAATTGTTTAATTTGCAATTTAGATCTATTTGGTCACCATGTTAAACTTCATTATTCACTTATTTTAATGATTTGAAACGTGAAAACCTGAACTGATACATATTTGTATCAGGTCCTATGTTTCTTTTGAATAACTAGCCTAGATACTGTGTGTGTGAGGATCGAGATAAAGATCGACTTTATGAGTAAGACTTGAATGTTTCATCTCAGAAAGCGCAACTCCATTAAAAAGGTGACGATCTACAAATTCTTTTGTGCTTTTCTTGTCTCGTTCACTCATGTTAATTTATCAGTACTCACTTTTGTGCAAGATGTTAAGTAACTCAACAACTGTAGAACCATTAAAAATTAGGAAACATAATTTTAGCTATTTTATCACAATGTGAGAATCTTCAGCCATGTACATCCACAATCCACACATAATGGAATCCATGTAATTGTAAATTTACACGACGAGCCTGAGTTGAATCGAAATCTATCTGTTCATATTTACAGTTTTTGTTGCTATGTTATGCAGTACTATACCTATCCGAATCACTGTCATGCTTCCGGTTTGTTTGATTTTATTTGTCACCGCTTACCACTAACGATGCAAAGGAAGTCTTCTCAAAGTTAGTCACTAGTGTGGTAGTGATTTTCACCATAAAATGACTTCAAGCTTCTAAATTCTTTGTGCTATGCGATAGGTATGGATGACTTTTACCAGGTGAGGGCTTCTCCAGTTGAATATTTATTTTACCATTACTTATCGTTAGCTTGAGTAATTAATTTTTTATATTTTCGGTTTAGATCAACAGACTGTGGATCTTAAAGAACAGTTAGATAATAGTGAACCGTTGTATGAATGTGTTATTTGTCAAATATCTGGTCGACCATCAGTAGATGACATGGTTCTTTTAGACATGATGTGTGAATCGAACCGTAAGTTATATTTCGTTTTTTATAAATAGTTGCTTGAAATGACTAGAATACACTGATCAGCTTTTGTAACAATATTGTGAAAACATTGATGAAGCTTTTCTTCTTTGTGACCTTCATGATTTCATATTTATATCTTGAAATGACTTGAAAAATCCTCGTCTGATATGAATATAGTTTTGTCATTCTTTGGGATCAAATTTTACATGTACAGTTTATTTGTATTGTCTAATCCCTGTTTCATTTCATCTTTTAAAAATCAAAGGACTTTTATTTGTCGATTTGGCAATATCGTCCTGTATTTGTTGTTTCAACACTGTAGTGATTTTTTTTCGTGATCAAACAATTTTATTTCCATGTAAATTCAACAATATTCCATCATGAAATCAAACAATGAGGTCATTGACTATTGGACTGAGCCATATAGATCGGTAGTTGAAGACTAACTGGTGGCAGTCAACGCATTTATTATAACCTGAGATCTTGTGCCTTATTTCACTGTATCTAATTTTCTCTGCTATTACTGATATTGTTTTCTTTTCTTTTTCTCTGGGATTTATGTTGATAATTTCATCTCACTGTGCTAATGCGGTATAAGAACTTGACTTAATACACATTTATTTCCGATTCTGCCATACATTTGACTGACTGACTTGTGTGATAAGTAAACGAATGAACTTGAATCGCACACACTTTTATCCGAAAACTAATTGCAATCATTTGAACGTACATTCATTCATTCTTGTACATGAGAATTTCATCTTAGTTTATTATTTTGAATATTCTGAAGTTGTTCAAAGGGAATGCTTTTTTACCCTCACTATAACTCACTTTCTAATCAATAATAAAATATCATAAGCTGATTTACCTCATAATCTAAATGTTTTATTCAGTATGTGTTTCTATTTATTTTAAAGTTATGCTTCAGCTTCGTGAAACTGCTGTGATACCAACATTATCTGGACGAGATCTTAGCCAGTCATCAGGTTATCCTCCAGTTCTTTCTGAAACTGATGACTTATCATGGTTGTCACCAGAACGACCACCTGTTGCTAACTCACTGTCTCAAGATTCTCAGTTGAGAAATTCAACAAACTCTGATAATCCTTCTCCAGTTAGTGGTAGTAGTCAAGCTCCAGCAGGAATTGTTGGTCTACCAATTCATCCAATTATAAGTAATTCTTCTATGGAATCACATACAAAACGTTCATCATCACCTGAACCTCAAACACTTTCTGGTAATAAACAATCAAAGCATCACTTATGCTATACTGAATCTCGTCAATGGTGGAGTGATGCGATACCTTCTCTGATATCTAAAACATTACCCCTTCTACGTTCTGGACTTTTACTACAAACTTGCGGTCATGTTGTTCATCGAGAATGTTTTCAGCGTTATCGTACACATGTACGTTACATAAAGTGTTTATAAATATGATTTTTTTTCCAATGTTTTAACAACTATTTTAATATTTAGTTTACACAGACAAACTATACGGTTATAGGTTCAAGTCTCATACGATTTGTACTCTAGTTTGAACAGTTAGATAAATCCCACTACTACCACACATAATTGTGTTTTACTGCTTATCAATCAAACTCAGATATATTTGTGACCTCATGATCTTTGTTCATTTGTTTAACAGAACTCACTAAACCAATCTAAAATTTTATATACACTGAGATTATAATTATATCGGTTTGATTTAAACTGTAAGTGTCATAGTATTCAAATTTGTAATCTGAAACCAGTTATTGTTAGGGTCTAGGTGTAGCCACAAATATCCATCAGACAAAGTTAATCGAGGGATTATAAATCCTATAGGTTACTTCCGTAGTATTCTATTTACTCTATCCAAGGGTTCTTTCACTAGCTAGTGTTAAAAGCTATCATTCCAGGTTGTCACAACGAGTATAATGGCAGAGATAAAGGAAATTCGCGAAATGTGTTGGTATTTTTGGTGTTCGTACGTTTCATTCCCAAAACGTTCTAAAGATGTGTATACTGATGTGATGTTTGCAGTGTGATCGACATGATATTGTATATTAATAACTCATTGATGTTAAATATTTCTGAGTTCGATTTATACGAATTTGACTGTAAATACATTATAGTAGTGTATTAAGATATCAGTTTAATTTATTTAAGGAATCAAATAAATCTATCAGTCTTTGTGTTTTCATTATTCGTCATCAGATTCAAGGTTTCAGTGCCAGGACAAGTCAGTTAAGCTTTCAATAGACATAAAAATAATAAGAGACATAACATATAACTCTTTTATCTTTTCACTAAAGGGAGGTAATCGTTCTACTACAACACGTCATCGTTCTTGGATTGTATGCCCTTTGTGTAGAAGAGATATTCATCATCTTTTACCATTAGTTCCATTGCCTAAATCTGATACATTTGGCAACAAACAACAATTATTCCCTTCTGTAGAATATGGTCAACAGAATATTGCAATGCTTTTGAGTAAACTAGTAAGTTTATTGAAATTATTCATTATATATATTAAAAAGTTGTTGTCATGTTTTTGGAGGCTAAAGTATTTATTTATTTATCTACCAGTGAGTTTGTGTTGTATTCCTTACATTGCACGAATCTCAGTGTTTTACCTTTCTCAAGTATTAATTTTCACAGCTATTGTAGATAATGTTAGGGGCATTTTAACAAGAATTTCTATATGGTTCCTTCAACTGTTCTTTTGTTTGGTGCTTTGTGCTTAAAGGGTCATTTTTAGTCAACTGTGAAAGAGTAATAATTATTTGCATACATACTTTTAATTTATGAACTCAATCAATTGTAAAGTTATATTTGAATAAAGTTTTAGGATTGCTGTTTTCTATTAACTTCTAATTGAGTCAAAACCATTTGTTCTGATCTCATTTTTGTTATTTAACGTTTTATATTCGAGTGGATTAATTTACAAATACTAAACGGCTAGCACATTGATACTCAACATTAATCGACAACAGATACAATAGATTTCCATCAGATCAGTATAAAGTGTTTAGTTGTTCGATTAAAGATTGCGTAATGTCTTAGTCGATATAAATTCAGTAAGACATTGTATTGTAAGGATATTGGTAATTAAAATCATGTGTTTATGAAACTAGCAACAATAATGATAATAAAAGTAAGTAAGAATTGATTAACTTGATCTCGTTCTAAGTAAATTATTTACATGAGGTATCACTGAAAACCAATAAGTATCTGGTAGCTATTTTGAGAATTATCGGTAGTGAACACCAAAAATCTCATCAGAAGAGGTGTGGTAGAAATCAATCCATAACGAATACCATCTTAAACTTTAATCAGTTTACACAAACATTCTTCAAAATTCCTCATTCATTGTTTAGAACTAGTCATCATGTAATGATAATAACAGTAAATGAGTTAGAAAAAATTGGATTGTGAAAAGATTAAGAGGAGGGTATATATATATTGTGGACGCTAACCTCTGGGATTTAATCGGCATGGATGTTACTTCAGAAGTTTGAATGATTTTGAGAATGGTCTATTTCAGCGGATTATTGCTAAACACGATGAATTATTCAAAAACGAACTATCCATGCTGAATATATGACCCGTTTGAACTAAATGGGCCATGATCGAGTCTTTTTCAATCTTAGTCTTCATCCTAAAAAGGTTTCATAAATATTAAGGTGTATGTTCCTAGAATATTATCAATCAATCAAATTATTTCTGTTTAATTGTTAGAATTCATTATCAGACACTGGTTCAACATTTTGGAATGATTTAAATGGTTCTGAGGATGAGTTAAATGTTCAGCGTCGAATTCTGATGTCTCAACTAATTGGCAGTAATTATGAGGCTACCATATTATTAAGGTAATAAGTTTATTATTATTATCATGTTTACTACTGCTAAATGTTTCCGATTGAGCAAATGCCAATTTAATTGTAAAATAGCATTTGATGGAGAATTTTGCGTTGTTATGGCTAAGGTGGTCACGGGATGATTTAATTTTTGTTAATAATGCTAAAGTCTTACTGGTAACGGTATCTAGATGTGCTATTTTTCTAATTCACTATCTCTCATGATTTTCAGTCTTTTCTGATTGGCCGCTGCTACGTTTCTGTATGCTTGATTTTCATGCTCCCATTGGTATTAACCGAATTTCTTCGCTCCAAGTTGTCTTCCATCATCTTTCTGTGTCAGCGGTTCATTGTTAAAGTGTTGCGTTCCAAGTACCGCTATCAAGTAGTCTATAATAATGCCGTTCACATTGAAATAACTCAATCGTTCGTTGATTCCCAAGTATCGTTTGAGAATCCCCAAATAGACAATAATTTTATCAAGACATAACAGGTATAAAAACAGTAGTTTCTGCTGAAAACTGGTTTCAAAGGAGATCTGTTTATTTATTCACAAACTTACTTACTTACGCCTGTTACTCCCGATGGGGCATGGGCCGCCGACCAGCATTCTCCATCTCACTCTGTCCTGGGCCTTCCTTTCTAGTTCGATCCAATTCTTGTTCATTCTTCTCATGTCTGTCTCCATTTCTCAGTGTAATATGTTCTTTGGTCTTCCTCTTTTCCTTTGGCCTTGAGGATTCCATGTGAGGGATTGCCTTGTGACACGGTTGGGTGCTTTCCTCAATGTGTGTCCTTTATTCACCAACTACTTTTGAATATTTTTGAAAGCAATCTCGCCTGAGATGTTTTACAAATTGTATTACTTATTATGTTGATATATATAAAATGATTTTTCGTTCATCCTGAAATATGTAACCAATATCTGTATTATCTTTGGATTGTTGTTTCACCTTGATGCGTTCAATTTTAAGTTGTCAACAACGAGTATTTAGAACATATAAACTCAATAATGTCCCATGATATACTTGATGACATTTCAAACAATCTATTATCCTTGAGTTATTCGAGTTATGAGTCAGTATGTCCAACTGACTGACGTACGTTGTAATCTTAAGGTAAAAGTCATTCTTTGAAGCTTCATTATTGTTGTTATATCCGAATAAGATTAAATTATGGGTAACTTCTGGGAACTATTTAGAAACTTATATATATTCTTATGGTATAAAACTGTTAAGTAACTATATTCACACAGTGGAAGCCGATATTGGTGTTCTGAACTCAACAGGCAGGGCTAGATCAGAAGGCACAGTAAGGACTCTAGGCTGCTCAGTCAACGCGTTATTGGTTTGACACAGTGCTAAAATTTTATAAGTCGTGTATTGATTGGCTATTTAGTCATGCGATAAATAATAGGGAAAAAGACATAGCAATTGTATGCCTTGAAGTCCACTAAAGTTTTTCACACTGTTTTATACATTGTTTATTGTTTTTTCTGGTTCTCATTCATGTTTTTTTGTTCGTTATTTTTTTATTTGTCAAAACTATGTTTATTCACTAACTAAAAAAGATGTCAACTAGAATGTGAACTTAGTGTTCTGATGAGTTATCCATCACAATATTCCATGGTATCTCGTCGGTGTTATTGGCGTAAGTTGAAGTGATATTTTTTCCTGTTCTCTCTTTTGATATTTCATTTGTACTAAAATCTGTTTATTCATTATTGAATAATAATATTTTGTTTTGAATAATTTTGTTGGTCATATACTACTACACAGTGTGTATATCTTTAAGTTTATTATTGTTCACTATGTTGTATTTAATATTTGCACAGAATTTTCGTCTTAATATCACTTTAATTATTTGTACTATTAATAATAGGAGTTTGATTATTCCGTTGGTGGTGGTTATATTCAAGAAATCTGCGTAAAATGTACATTTGTCAACAAAGATTGATTGAAACATCGATTATGAACATAAACAAATAGATAATTCAAACTTTTACTATTAATAGGTAACAATACCAAGGTCGCGAGACGTCAGAAATATAATTTTTCTACTCATTATGTATGAGAAGAATATATTTAATTGTAATAGTTGAGATCATGAATCGATTGAAGCTAGAACACCATGGAAAACCTGGAAGCACTGGACGGCCATTTCGTCCTACTGTGGGACTCCTCGGCATTGCGCATCCACAACCTCGCCTCATGAGGTTCGAACCAAGAACCTATCAGTCTCGCGCACGAGCGTTTAACCATTAGGCCACTACGCCAGCATCCAACGGTGTCAATTTCTAACTTCAACTAATCATCGGAATTGAGTGACACATCAACCATTGTTTTCAATGAGTTACTATCTCACAACAGACCCGCTTGAACTCCACTTGTCACTGCTTCTGATAGGTCCTGGGTTCGAATCTCGCGAGGCGCGATCGTGAATGCGCACTGCTGAGGAGTCCCACAATAGGACAACTCGATCGTCCAGTGCTTCCAGCCAGGTTTTCCATGGTAGTCTAGATTCAATTGACTCATGATCTCAACTATTAAAATTACTATAGTATCAACAAAACCACTTCTGATTAGAATATATTTATTATTACTTTAGTAATAATAATGTAAACATCATGACTATTGAATACGTTAGTGGCAATTTGAACTCATTAGCTCAATGAATAACACCTTGATGTGAACATCAACACTTGAATGCAAGTACGTGTGACTATTGAGTTCCAAATATAACGAAATATACATCGTGGTTTCCAATGTTAGCCACAATCCATTTGTTCCAAACATACATACATTTATTATTTATTTTTATTATTGATGGCTTTGTTTAATATTATATCTTTGGTAGAATACAGAATTTTCAGCACAATTTATTTCAACAAGTTTCCTTTTCTTATTTATTGATCGATCCTGACGATAAATATTAAGATGTTACCAGTTCAGGAAACAACATTTGAATAATGTTCATTCTTTTCAGTTCATATTGCGGATTGTACTTTTTTGTAATTTATACAGCGAACGGTCGTAAACGTTTCATAAGTGTGCCTAAATAGGTTATGTCATTAATAGACATGATGATATGTTAAAACAAACAAAAACAGATAACATTTTAAGATAATTAAATAACAGCAACAAGTAGGCCAGATATTCAAGCTATGTATATAAATTTTTATTTTATTTTAAAATATTACCCATTATCATACGTTAACTTTATTATTTAATGCACAAATATTTCGAAGATTTCAATACTTCACAATTGATTGATCACTGGGTGGCGTTCAATGTCATGCCTGTCTAGTCCTTATTAGTGCAGATCGAATGCTATCGATCATGTTGCAATATGGCCACCAGTCTAGGTGACTCGACACTGCGTGCACTATATATTGAGATTAGATGGTGGTTGGAGGCAGTCGACAGGAAACCCAGGTCCAGGTCTGATTTCAATACATATTAGTTCTTATAATTAATAATTAATATATGGTTATTACTCAAAAGAGTATGTTTTATAACACTTTCAATTTATACACAACTATGTATTAACTTAACTTATTTTTATGTCAACATGCAAATATCACGTTGTTATTTTTCCATTTACAATTTGAGTGTGTTATCCCGTGATTGTTTATTCATGTTTATAATTGAATGAATACGCATGATTCAGTGTCGAATTTCATCAAACGTTATACTCATCTATCTTTATTATAAATACCTATGTTTTCTATGAGTTGTAAAACTAAATATACACTTTTAAATAGTTTATTGAGTTGTAAATGAAATGATTATTTCAGTTTCGTAACCTATTGAAATGATGATTAAGTGTTTGACGTAGGAAATGCTTCAATGTGAACAATAGACTCTATTTATTTATTTATTTGTATAGGTTACTTGAATTTTCCCATTGACGTTTAGGACTACAATTGATCAGTCTGTCATTGGCATATGTGCATCTTGTGCGGATTGCCTTGATATCGCCTTACGTGAAAAGCATTGTAAACAGTGACGTGTGGTGGCTAGTAGTGGAATGAAGGACGCACTTTTTGTTCTATTTGTAACTCGTCAACTGGGTGTTCCTGTATTCCAGAATTCATATGTTCACTCCATGATTTGAGATTGATCAGTTTCAGTTCTAAACGTCAATGGGAATATTGAAACAATGAATACAGAAATGAATTAAACTTAACTTTATCACACAAGCTATTGTTTGTCTGTACTTATTAGGTGATTGGATGCTACAACAGTCAGTCAGCTACAACGTAGCACCAGGCACATATATGCATCGGTCCAAGTTGCCATACCTCATTAACACAACAAGATGGACACCGGATTCCTAAAAGTAATTAATTCAGAGGTGGTAATATATAAAAGAAAGATTGCAATAAGGATATAGTACAGGAAGAAAGAATTGGATGACGCGATGTCATTTGAAGCGAACAGTATTGGGTTGGAGTCTTGGAGTGAAAATCGTTTGTAGGATGTAGGTAAATCTATCTGACTTGTCTAAAATAGGATGAAACGTGTATCCTGGATTCCACTGCCAACCAACATCCAACTCTTTAAATTCACTTGGTATTGTTTGGCTTGTATCTTCACATTGAGGTTTAAGACTGCAATTGATCAGTCTGTTATTGGCATATGTGGATAACGCGATTGCGTTTAAAGCGAATGGTACTGGGTTCGAGTCCCAGAGTGAACATCAACTCTGAGGTGCAGCTACATCCAGCCAACGAGTCCCAAATAGGACGAAACGCGCGTCCTGGATTCCACTGCTAGCCACTATCCATCATTGCTTACAAAAATCCTACTCTTTACTTCTGCTTTTTTATATTCAGTACTTGGTTCATTTCATGATATACAGCTATTTTTTATTATTTTTACTACTATCGTATTACATGTGTGTATGTAGAAAAATGAAGTTTTCAATATTAAGGATAATTTAATTTTTAATTTGTTGGTTCTTGTCTGTCTGCTTACTTTTTCGTTGATGCCATAAACATGATACTCAACTGTATACTACTTTTCTCTTTATTTTTATTAGGTGAGTTTATTTGTTATCTCCGACAACTATATAAGAAGTCATCTGATATTAAGAATTTAATACAATGTCTCATGATTGATGAAGTAAAGAGATTGAATGATGACAATTCGTATGTTTATGTGTTATTTCTGTTTTATGAAATAAATTAAATATCATCCGTAGTGTTATATATTTTGCGCATATATTTAATGTTCCGCAATTCGAGGGTTAGATGTCTCCGTTACCTTTATACGCAACGAAAGCTATAGCGCTTACGGCATGAAATGGAGGTTGAAGATATTACTATCTGAAATGATAATGAAAGCTTCTCAATCCATACATTGAGCTCAAAGCATGAAACACCATCATTAGTGTCATATTTCGTTTGTTTTTTTTGTAGACTTTCATTAAACAGCTCACTGGATATCAGATTACCATTTGAGGCTAGAGGTACTTGATTCTTGTCTCAAAATACACACCGAGACTGAAATAAATACAGGTACATCTGGCCGATGAGTCTCAGTTTAGACGAAACGCTCGTCTTGCATTCCAATGCTAGCCACATACTAGATATATCATAAATTTTGACTAAGGGCTATATGTAAGATTTACGCTCCGCATCCAGTCATGACATTCGAAACTGGTCAGTAATATCTCTTAATCACAATAATATTAATAATAATAATAAGTAATAGAATTATTCATTTTGCTAGTGTTTTATTTCTTGTTTACTGTCTCGATTTGTCTGAAACATTTATCTTATTACTATATTTATTTAAAATCAAAAAGAATTACTTGTTATATTGGTTAACAATTCAAGTGTGATAACATTCCACTCAATTATACTTGATCGTGATGTTGTACATGTAGTTTATTCTTTTTTTAAAAAAAAGTGAACAGAGCCTTGTATGATGACATCGAGTGCTTATCATTAAGTTAATATATAACTTGTCTTGAACCGTAAAGATCAGATTCATTTCCACTCGATTAGGTTGCATTGCTTTGATCAGGTTAGTACACTGATAGTGGTTCTGAAACGATTGTATTGTAATTAGATAAAATCATATGATCATGAATAATACCTAACTGATTCAACAGCAACGAAGTTTAGAAAGGATCTAGATTTCTATGTCTATTGAATAGACTAGGATAGAAAATAAAAAGTTGTGTCATTCAGTTTACAAGATCAATTGTTTTATGCATCATAGTTATAATCTAGATAGTTTAATTAACGTTAATTGTCGCTACAAATAACTGACGGAATATAAAACATCGTGTGTATGTGTGTATATACTCAGTCCCTCATATATATATATATATATATATATATATATATATATATATATATATAATCATACGTTTTAATGCTTTCGTTCAGTTGTTTAGAATAAACATTTTTATTGTTATTAACTCCATCAATTATAAGATACGAATAAATGAATTAATCTCTTCTTCTCCGTTATCCTAGGTTTCCATTGTGTGCTTTACTTCAAGATCCAGTTGATATTCTGCTTGGACTGCTACCTCATATATGGCCTAATGAAGGTAAGTTAAAAATAGTAATGATTATAATAATAATGGTAATAACGTTATTAAACAATGTTTAAGTGATGCAAGTGTTATCCCATCCACTAATAATTCGTAAATTTAATGCAGTTCAAATTCTCAACAATATCGTTACCCTTTTGCAATAGTGTAGCGTAGACTCAGTTTTAAATTCCCAACCCTAGTTATTTGTTTTTCCTACTCCTCATCTGGTAATTCTTCTGTGGCCTAATTTCTTAGACTTGACTAATTGTAAGTCTGATCTGCACCATTAACACTGAATCGACGCAAGTCAATCTCTTATTGGTCCTCTACAGTTAAACCTCTCCCTATCCCTTGAATCAAACGACATTTTTGTTCTCAGCTTCTATAATAATAATAATAACAATAATTATTATTATTATTATATTATAATTATTATTATTAAAAAATGTGTCGGGGACACTCTAGTTATACATAGACGGACTGAAATAGGTTGTGTATGGGGCAGGCTGTTAAAAATTGATAGAGTATGAAATCAGTCATTCAGTAACAACGTAGAACTTCGTACGTACGTACATCATTTCGAGTTGCCACACCACATTAGCACAGAGATGCAGTGGTCGATTCAAATCCCGTAGTGCTAGATATAGTAAATTTATAAGCTGTAATCAGAAAAATTAGGTTTTGAAGATGTTATTCAAGGAGTATAATCCAGTGAAATAAATTTGGAAAGAGAAAAAAGAAAGGGACATGAAGAATTCAGAAGATTAGAATTTGGGAGAACACAGAGAGTGGATGCACCTGCGCCATTGCAAACGATGTTGAGCCATGTCATTCAGTGTCTCTAACCATCGGTTGCTATCATCTCGCGGTCCCCAACCAGGTAGTCTACACCTACCGACATGACTCAGACCACTTGTCAGTAACTTCATGGACTTGTGCCATGTTTTGGTCTGGCCGCCTCTAGCTTTCTTCCAACCTACTCCTATACCATTGAACATCGCACGTCGAGGCAGTCGGTCGTTGGGCATGCGTAACACGTGTCCAAGCCATCTCAACTGATGACGTTTCACTACTTCATCAGTTGATTTGCCATCCTTACCTAGTACCCGTTTACTAACTAGGTTTAATAACCAGTGCAATAATAGTTAGTTTGTTATGTGGAAGCTTATGATAAATAATATATATAGACATAGTAATCCAGTTGCTCAGGTATTATACTATAACATTATAAATAATAACAATGATTTAAAAAAAGAATAGCAATAAACAGTGTGATTCGTGAAAAATGAGTGGATCTATATATCAGCAGTGTATAAGATTTTAAATATCAAAATATAAGAAAGACAATGAAGAAATCCATCTAAACCACTGTGATCAATTCTGAACTAATGTCATTCAACCTTACTCATCATTGGTTATGATGATCACGTGGATCCTAACGATTTAGTCCTCATATGTGTCTATATGACTCATTTCCACAGTCAATGTCTTTCGTTATTTCCTAATCTACTCCTACACTAGCCAGCAATGTGAATCGAGATAGGGAGTGGTTGTGCATATCATTTGTCTAAATTTTTAGTCTGGTTTACATAGATCTACATTGAACAAATAAATGTATTTGAACTACAAGTTATCCGTTTATTTAATGGTTTGTTTACTTCAATTATCTTTGATTGTTCTTTTAGCTATCACATGTATTTTTCAATGTTGAAACGTCATTCTATCGCACCATTTTAAACAATCCAGTTTGAGCAGACAGGTAGTAATTAGTGTGTGAGCATATGAATTTACATGTGCTAAGTGAATATGACAATAATTTTTTTGCTTATTGATACTGATAGTTAGTCATCATGTTACATAATTGGGTTTTCAGCATCTAGGTATTGTATAATAAATAATTGTTTCTTTCATATATTCTTTCATTGTTCTCTTTTTAATTTGCTTACAATTCTAGGTATTTTCCATACTGTTTTGGCATCGACATTTTGTTTGGCTTATATACGTGCTCTTATCAGTGTTACTTTCAATCGTTCCACTTCATCAACATGTTTTAATTTAGTTAAACAGATCAATCGAACACGAAATTTATTGGGTAAAGTAAGTAATTCTTATGCATATTGTTAGAGAGAGTAACAGAGCGAGAAAACAAAATATTATTCTATCAACTATGACTGAATTCTTGGTTTGTAGGCAAACTTCCTTTCTGTAAACAGTAATTGTTTCACAAAATTTATCGATATTATTCATTTGTCTATTCTTTTTTTGAATAGATTTACCCTTAAAGTAATATTTAGAATAAAGGTATTTAGTAAACAGTTGATTGTAGATATCACCAATCATAGGCCATGTTGATCGATACAATCAAGTTTCCACTACTGTAACTACGTGATTTCTATATTTACTACATAGTTTGAATAATGCTACCGAATAGTTTATTCAATTGTTTCATTAAACAATGTACTGTAGCCAATTATTACAGTTTTAGTTTGGTTAAAAATATACATAAAGAAATGCATTATTATTATTATTGACTGAATAATCGTTTTTTCATAGATTAAATAGCGTTTCTTGATATTTCTGCAGTTTATTAATTAAAAAGTGAAACATTGTTTTTTGTTTTCTCCCATACATGTTGTTCATTGTGTTTGTTATGTCCTATGTCAAATATCACGTGACAAAATCGTCAATCAGAGCACTGACTAATATGACTCTCTCTCTGTTCCACGCCAAGTACACGTCAACCAACACCAATCGCCTTGAGTCAACTCTGAATCCTTATTGACCCCTATAATAGCTTCTCATTTAGCCCAGTTCAGATCACAAATACCATCCTCCACTACATGAATCGTGTACTTCAGATATACATGGTCTATTATACACGGAGATCAGACCGCATCACATCATAAGATGGAAAATAATAATTATGCAAATTTAAGCCAAAAGTGGCTGAGTATGGAAGACTGTAACTAATTGGTTGGAAATAAATTACGGATGGTAAATCGTATGACAGTAGCCAATAAAGTCAGATGACAGCTCATGATAAAGGAAAATATCAATATGTATATAATATAGTTACTTAATAATTAACCAATAAGAATATATGTAATAATAGTCCATAAATAATTGCTAGCAGTTATCATTCATTTATTCTTCGTTGGGATATAGCAGTGTTTGATTTTATTATTATTGTATCATATCAGTATCCACTCTTGTTATGTCGTCTGGCAACGTTTTTTTGTTGCTGTTGAAAGTTTACTATTATACATGTTAAAATAAGAAAAGTTTCTGAATGAAACAAATTCTTCATCATTGAGAGTTGAACTATTCACTTGTTGATTTTTAAAAATTGTTCTATTCACCTTTTTCTTCTTTTAAACAAAAAGATGTGATTTTCATTACAATGTTTACCTTCCTTGAATATTTCTTTTTTTAAAATTAGATTTCTGGTGTTCTCAGAAAGCACTTAGAGATTTTACTTAATTATTTAAGTGAGTTAAACATTTCATTTACTCCTTCTACCTCTGATCATCATCATCTGCATGATCAACAATGTCATTCAACTGAATCCTTAGAGGATAATTGTCAATCATCTAATAAAATAGAACATATTTTAAAAGTACTCTATCTTGCATCAAAATTACCGGATGAGAATTTCTTTAATCAATTCTCTTCTTCCTCATCATCATCGACAGCAACATCTTCATCATCATTACCAACAATAACAGCAACAACACCACATTCTTCTTCTCTTCCAATAGAATATGATCAAAATCAAATTGAATTACATATTATTCTTCGTATACTACCATTTCTACGTATTGCTAGTTTATGTTGGACACGTTGGCATCCAGACAATGTGGGTACTGTTAAACCATTAGGTTTACCATTTGTTGGATTATTAATTAAATCAACTCAGAAAACTAATAGTCACGATCATCAATTGTCAACAAAAGAATTTATATCTATTACACCTGAGGTAAGTAACCTTGATTTTGAATTACTATTCTAGAAATATTGATGAATTTAATGTTAAAAAAATTGACCATTAAATACCAGCTCAACGATCTGAGGGTTAAACACATACCATAAAATCTGTGGATTCTTTTGTTTGACCATCTCTCATTTTGATTGTAGATGTGTACTGCTGAAGAGTTTCACAGTAGAAAAAAATACTTATCTAGTACTTTTTAGTTTTCAACGGTTTTTTAAATATGATTAATATGTTATGTAAACTATAAGACGATTCTCTTTGTGATATACGTATTCAGTAGTTGCTTACATTTGGATTGGATAAGTATGAATAAGAATTCAAAGAAACTGAAAATAAGATATCATAGTGATAAAAGTGTATATTTTTTATTCTTTATAGGAATTTTACTATAGGCTCACTAAAACTGTAGTCTGTTCTTGAGTTTCATTCATTTTCATATTTCTTGTTTTGAAACTGGTTATGTTCGCGAATCGATATCAGCAGTTGGAGAACAATTATAAAACTAGGACATACTGAACAGTTATTTCTTCATAGTATTGGTCTATATACTACTCACACAAGGTTCAATAACTTTGAATATTTCAATCCTTAAAGAGTCCAATCGTTTCTCTGTGTTATAATTTATTTTATTACACCAGCTACTATTGCTTAGTATTATTGGACACTACTTCACTCAACAACTCCCCAAATCAGAACACGGTTGAGCAGGAACGAGATTATATTCCAAGTAACAAAGATAGATTGAAGTAAAAATTACAATAAGAAAAAACGTTAGTATATTCATAGTTTCTACATAAGATTCTATAGTCTTCTTCAATTGTCCACTAGCGTTGAATGGTTAGGAAATGCCCAATCAACACACCCTAACACAATCCTTCAAAGAACGTGCTTTAATCCAATATATATTCAGCTAACACTCAGATAGCTCAGTATAAAACTCTCAGCCTATAAAACTTTGTGATGCTGGCTGGAATCCTACTTGAAGCATTAGTTTTTCCCATGTTTCAAGTATGTCTTGACACTCAGTATGAGGTTGTATTAAATTTAGGGGTTTCCTATAGTTAGGATCACTACGTAAAACAATCGAACTCAGAATGCTCAATATTCGATTTAGTCGATGTTTCAGCATTTTGGTTTATTTACAATACACCACGACCATCCTTTTTTATCATTATAATGGAACTGTCCTTGTTCTCTACTTGATTTAACCCTATTGGTAAAATTTGTTTCTGCTACAGCTTTAAGTTCTCATACTCGTAGAGCTAGTGATAAGTTATCAGAAGATCCTCTCTCTGTATCCTGTTTGTAATCAAGATTACTTTCAACGTGATACAGATAAATATTTATAAAATCAGTTTACATTTATGATTGTTTTCTCTACTTATCTCTTTTTTATAATAGCAACAATTAATTGAATTTAGTGATCTTTGTCGTATATTATCATTGGATTGTGGAGATAGTACAGTGATAAATGTAGCCCAGGTTGGTGAGTTAGCTGGTCGTTTATGTGGATTATGCACGCCTAATAATAATAATGCTATAGAATATCTTATTGGTCGATGGATCGGTCAGATTAAAAAAGTATCATCAGTTCACTTAACTGCTTCATCACCAACATTACTGTTACAATCCTCAACATCAGTATCGTCATCATCTACTGTCTGTGATATGCCTTTACAAATTAATGATAATAATAATGATATCAACCAGTTATCAAATATTGATCATAGAAATATATTAACTGAAGTTGAGAATATCACATCTGTTAGTCGAGGAACATCGTATTTTATCTTGCATGTAGCTGAATATCTACGGGTATGTATCAATTGAGTTTTAGCCATAGCTGATATACTTGTCCATTGATTTCCTATGAATATATCTATCCAGTGATCAAAATTATTAGTTGACTCATTTACCTTTTACACATGTTTGTATATTCGATTGTCTAAAGAGTGATACTGTTACTTAACCATCTAAATTGGAGTAGATAAAGAAAGGCTCAAACTGATGATTGAATTGTTGGAAATTGAATGCTCTAATTAACTAAACAGTAATTCATGTAGTTGCCCCACAGTAATCTAATTTGTATAAACATGATCAGTTCTGTAAAATAGCCATTAAAGAAAAGAATTGCTGTCAAAAATTTTTATACACACTACACATCTCGGTGTAGTAAAGATTTTACGTGTAAAATACTCGATTTTAAACCATATTTTAATCTCAGCAGCTAAGTAATGTTACAGATAATTAACGATATGACTCGAAAGTGAATATATGGTAATGATAATGTATGGATTCATGCAAAATTACAGTAATATATAACTAATGAATACTTCAAAGTTTAGAAATTAGTATGGAGAGCTATATCATTATTAGCACAGATGGCCCAGTAATTACATTGTATTTATTGGTACTTATTCCGTTATAATTAACATTTATATGGCTCCCAAATGCCCTGGTACGGCCGAGAGTGTGGAGAGTCCGCTCTCTCTCTCGAAATGCTCTCACATGGCCACGCGTATATAGCCTCTGCCAGGGAAGTCCTACTCACTGCCTTCTCGTGACAGGGGTGTTGTTTACGAAAATGAGAGGACTAAAAGCGAATGTCCGGCGCTTTGACCGGATTCCAAATCAATGGTGCACATAGGCTCCAGTATCCTGCAGGAACAAATGGCGTATGAACCAATCGTTGGTCACCGGCTACCATGGGACTGCATCTCCTTACGATGCTCCACTACTTTGTGGATCAGACCTTCAGGTCGAAGGCTCGGGGAGTGGCCGTCTAAGAAAACCACCTGCTTCGGTTTGGGCAACCGGGCAGTATCACAGCCCTCACTTATTTCTAATGAGATTTGTGTGGCGCATATGTATTTGGTGCCTCCTTGTAACAATATCTATGTGTTAAAATAAATAAATAAATAAACATTTATATGTCTATTACTTCGCTTATCATCCGACAATATTCATCATTCAAATAGTAAATTGCATTTCGAAAAAATCAAATCACCGTTGAACAAGGAAATTTGTTTAAACCTTCACATGTCACGACTTTCCCATAATTACATTAAAATACATGCCTCCTATAGAATAAACAGAAGGCTAAAGGATTAGAAGCAAAGATGTATGCTGGCTAGCAGTGGAATCCAGGACGCACTTTCTTTTTTATTTGGAACTCGCCAGCTGAATGTACCGGCATCCCACAGTTGATTCCCACTCCGAGACTTGGACCCAGTACCGTTCGCTTTACTCCAATCCTAAACATCAATGGGAAAACTCGAACAAGCAATACAAAAATGAATTGAAACTTCACTCCATTGCACATACTAGTAGCTATTTGGACTCAATAGCTAAATGGAAAACGCTATGGCGTTTGAAGCGAACGGTACTGGGTTGGAGTCACAGATTGAACACCAACTGTGGGATGCAGGTACATACAGCTGGCGAGTTCCAAATAGGACGAAACATGCGTCCTGGATTCTACTGTCAGCTACTGTCCACTTCAGCTTATAATCCTTGTGACTTAAGGCATTATCGAAACAATTCGCACAAGATGCACATATACCAATATGAGACTGATCAGTTGCAGTCCTAAACATCAAGGAAAATTCAAACAACCATTACAAAAATGAATTAGAAATCGAAAGGGATAGAAATGCGTAACATTATTAGACTTTAAAGTATTTCAGAAGAAAATTTATTCATGCATACATGTCGTTTTCATTTATTTATTTAACTGTTTACTTATATTAGTCATTAGTTGAAATTGGTCGTCAGTTGTATTCACCACGTCTTATACGTACACCATCATCATTTGATGTATTATTCAATGCATTGCATTTAGTCAATTGTTCATCAAATCAACACAGGTTTCAAGATAACATTCTATGTCTCATTTGTGGACGCTTATTATGCAGTTTATGCAGTAATTTAGCTACCGTTGTTGTTGAAGTAAGTACTTCTAGATTCTTTCTTTTGCTTTCTATATTTGTCTTATGATATAACGGATGGATTGAAATATTTTTCTCTAAGTGTTATGCTATTTACTTATTTACTCCTGTTACTCCTCATGGAGGACCATGGGCCACCCAACAGGATTCTCTAACCAACTCTGTCCTGGGAAGTCTCTTCCAGTTGTTATTCATTCTTTTGATATTTGCCTCCAATTCCCGACAGTGTGTTCCTTGGTCTTTCTTTTTTCCTTTTTCCCTTCTGGGTTTCAAATTGTCACTTGCTTTGTGATGCAATTTGATTTCCACATTGTATGTGCCATCCACTTCCATATTCTTTTTCTAATTTCCTCTTCATCTGGAAGTTGGTTTGCTCTCTTCCATAGTAAGCTGTTGGTGATGGCATTCGGTCAACTGACTGATGTACTACGCTGTTATCTTAATTATGAAAATAAGAATGAACTTGATGACCGAGTGCATAATACTACTAGATTGGATATTCGAACTATACGCTATACAGAGACTAGATCATGTTATATCAAATAAATGATTCACGACTAAAAATAAGGAACCAGTGTAACTTTAGGTGATACTTCATTCCACACAGTTACAAACAGTCACTTTCAGCGAGTCTAGAGTAGAAATCAATTAAAAGAAAAGAAGCTAAGTATCCATTTGTCCATAATCGGTGGCTAATCACATTTACCTCAACTGACGCACATTGGCTTGCTATTTTGAAAATAAATATATCTTATTCAAAAAGTGGCGAAGTCTACTGTGCTACTTGATCAAGCTTACGTAGGAATTTACAGAAACACAGATGACTGAAATATTCAAACGAAATATCATTTGTAATATGTTATTAGCTTCGCTGATTAACAATTAAAATTACCATTTATATGAATAATAATAATGTGTAAACTTATAAGGTTGTGGAGACTTGTAATAATCTGAAATTCTGTTAATCACTGGTTTGGCGATAAATTTTTAAATTTCTTATGAGAGGTTGTTATTAATAATATATATTCAACCATGTCTACATTAAAATACTTAGCTTTAACCGAAAACATAAGGTGTAGTATTTGTTTAGCATCGGAAATTAACTAACGTTAAAAAGGTTAGACGGTTGTGTGATACTGTCTACACTATTATAACACTAATACTAGTGTAATTCTAGCTTCATGACTCAAATTTTGTGTTAGTTTTATGCCGTTTGATGTCGTTTATAAATATTATCGAGTAAAAATCAAATCAGGATGCATATTTCTATTCACTGCTACTTCAGGTAATATTACTTCGTAGTGACTATCGCGTCCAATGTTTTTTGTTCGGTTTCGTAAAATAATGTGGTGGCAAGCGATTATTGTCTCTCGTTTATTTTTCGGTGTATATACAGACAGCGTTTAGGAACGGTGGAGAGAGATTATATCTCATTTATTTATTTATTTAGCCACTTATTGTAGGAGGGAAAAATGCTCAATGCAAATCTAACAATTTTCGGCTCATTTATCTGGACATTATGGGTTCGCTCACCAAACTGAAGATTCCGGCTTCGATTGGTGGTAGTGAAGTTGCAGATTCGTAGGTCTTAGGAGTTGAACACTTAGACAGAACAGCTGTTCATTGCTTCCATGTTTTCAATGGTTATCTAATTTATATCAGTTCGTGATCTCAATAAAATTTCAAAATGTGGAACGTCTCGCTAACTGTTGTACTTGTAGCTCAGTGGATGTGTTACGATTGTTACCACTTTTTTAAAGACATAAGGAAATATTTATAAAATGTGTTTTTTTTAACAGAAACACTTGAAAGTCGATTGCAATAATGACGAATCAATTTTGCACTAAATAACAAATACAATAACTTTTATACTTTATATCTTATTAAGTGGGCATATAAAACTGTAAATAAATATGTATTCACACTTTTCAAAATGTTTAATTTACAATTAATAATTCATTTACATTAACTTATTCAACGGTGAATCTCATCTTTTTAAAAATACAAAAATAAGAGGATGTTATTTCAAGTTTACACAATATTGATCAAGCAGATTTTTTTGTGAAGGGTGTGTGTATGTGACTGTAAGGTGCTTTAGAAATGGAAGTTTGTTCGTTTAATCCCAACTTGTTTATAGCGTTGTCTTTGTTGTTACGGTTCATCCAATTCATCGTGTATTAATAATAAACTCTCATTTTCTAGGCTGTTGTTGTGTCGTCTAAAAAAACGAAATATACAATTGATATAATACTTCATACACGTTATTTATAAGTATATAATAATCGTCATATTATTTTAATGGATTTTTAAAATGGATGGCAATGCATATATTAGTGAACGTTATGCGTATAGATTTTCGTAAATTTGAATAGTAGCGTTTTTCCCCTTTTTGAAAGGGTCGTCAGTTGGATGCACCTGTGTCCCACAGTTGATATTTACACAGAAACTAAAAGCAAAAACCTTTCACTTTAAAACCTACAATACTGTCCCTTGGCCTTATAAGTAAATGTAGTTATCTCCGGAATGTGTATTACCCAACGATTTTGTATTGTGAAATATTTTATTCTTTCAACCCTATTGGTACATATCGTATCAACGATCCCACTCAAAATTATCGATTCGGTCAACTCAATCATTTCAATGTTTCAGTATCATTTATCTACTTGGTTGTCATGATAATAGTAATAATTTCAAAACGGTTTCAATGTAAATTAAAAGTACCATGAATTAGCATTTGTCAAGCTACACTGATAAGATTAAGTATCTATCACATTTGTCATATTTGAGTACATTGACAATACTTTATGTGACGCTTTAGATATTGTTTACCTTTTATTATATAACTAAGTCAGTGAAATATGTAATTAACTTATTACATAACAATTCCCAGTTTAATTAAATTGAATGTTTTTGCTCTTCTTAAAGCATACCTATATGTGTGGTGGTTTTTCTGGCGTAGTCCTTGAAGTAAACACTTCCATTGTTTACGTATCACTTGGATCAAATATTTGTGATTGGGGTTCAGTTTATTTAGATGAATATGGAGAAGAAGATTTAGAATTAAAGTAAGTTTCCATTTCGCTTTAAATGTTACAAGAAATAAATTTCCTTGTTTATTTAAGTTCAGTAATCTATATCACAACTGTAGTGTAGAATAGCTCTCTGATATGTTACCCAGTGCATACGATAAACTATGAAGATGATAAATTTTATCAGCTAAAAATTTACACAATCTACATTGAGTCACACTATTCATTCGATAAGTTGTAAAACTACCTCGAGTGCATAAAACTCAGTATATAGATCGAGGTTCAAACTTGTGATATCTTGGTTTAAAGTTGATTACCTTAATGAATAGTCAATTACTGTATCACTGTAGACTATAATTATCGGTACTGCATACGTCACTGCCAGTCTAGTTACACAACAGCAATATAACAGAAGCAATGCATTATTTGAAATATTATCTGAAGCTATTCGTGTAGACAGATGAAACCTTATATTTTGCGTCATGCGTTCATTTCATGCTCTGTGTATCAAAATTTTGGTAACGAGGTAATACCGGGCATTTGGAGCTGTTGAGAATACATGAAATACGATAAATTTATATTATTCTACAAATATTGTCCTCGTCTTTTCTTTGCTATCGTTAACTTTTACATGAAACGGATTATCTTCTTAGTATAGTGTATTTTCCGTAGCAAAAGTTTCATTTAATTCAGGAAATCGGTTTGACATTCATCCATAAATTACAATAGTGCTCCTGACATTCATTATAGTAATAGGAGTCAATTTATGTTCTCTAGCTATATGTCAATTCCTAGGAAGGTGTAGTCAGCATGAAACGCAAACCTATGTTTCGTACTTATTAGCACTCGTCAGCAGGTCATACATGCAATATTCTATGGTCCTGCGTCAGCCCAGCCTAGTAACATAAGACATTAACCCTGAGTTATTGAATTTGCTATGTGTCATTTTATTGTTTAGAAGCCCAAAAATTTCCCATCAAAATTTTAAAATATACCCATATCCGAAATGTTACATTAAGAGAACAATGGTGAAAGAATAAATAGTAGCTGTTAAGTGTTGATCGATTGTGTAGAGAATCAATGTATTAACTATAAGTTATTGACATCATATGCGAACAATAAAGCGAACGTTTACAAATGCCGTCAACGTGTTTGACTTACTTACTCGCATTTAAGCAAAAGATTTGCGCGCGCTAAATCTTTGTGAAGAGAAAAAGCAACCGAACATCGCTCTGGGTGGGGGGCTGTGTAAATCTTCACTATATGAGTTTTATATTAGGACAAAACGACTGTTCAGTACGTCCTAGTTTTCAATGTCTACCTAACTAAATTTGTTCCGTGATGTACCACATTGTTCCCTTGTAACCTTTTTGAAAAAAATAACGTTAATCCCCTACTTTTCCATTTGTCGTTATCTAATTACGAGCTTCTACAAACTAATTAATATTAACCATAAAAAATTCACTATTTCCAACTACAATCTATGTTATCAATTAGGAAAATTCATTGGCTTTTTACATCGATACAATATAGTAGAAGTATATTCAATTTTGTTATTGTTAGTAGTAGTATGTGTTTACTATCCGTTAATTTTTTATTTGAGTTTGTTTACGTTATACTTTTTTAAAATACACATTAGGTATATGTATTTACTCAAATTGTAAATTAAAATGAATTTCGATTCGTATCAAAATACAATTCTGTTGTCTAACTTTTCTCTAATATGTGACCTGTTTCTAACTTCGTCTATAAATATAGAAACCTGTGTATAGATATGATACATGTATATGTGTTTTTGGTATATCATTTTATTTTACAGACGTGGGAAACCATTATTCTTAAATGCTGAACGATTTGCCCTCTTAGAAAATCAATGGATCACTCATTCATTTCGTCATGTATTAAAAAATTGGCGATCTGTTTGAAATAAAATCAAAAGAAGAACAGAACACACCGACATACAAACACAAAAAACTATATGTGAGTATCAATGTCACAATTCACCTTCATTAACATAATGTACTTATTATTGTACATGTCAAGATATCTTCTGTTAAAACAGCTGTCGGATACACATGAATATCACAGTAAATACTTGAATTCATTCTTCAATGATTTTCATTTAAGTTCTTTATTGAACAATAATCGACAGCATATATATATGACTATCAAAACAGAATTATACACACAATCAGTCCTTCTTGAATCATGTTCTTAACACATTATGCTAGAAGCTTTCTACACATATTTCTGCTGTTTGTTAGCGTTTTAGTTTATATTGTGAGATACGTAGCTGAAAACTACAACAAACTGGCAACTTAATTAAATGATATTTATAAATATAGGTTAACGCGTCCCCCTCCTCACCCATCAATGCTTTGGATATACACATACACATGTTATATATATATATATATATATATATATATATATATATATATATATATATATATATATACTTATGTCTAATTATTGTTGGTTTTCGAATACTCACTGTCGAACAACAGAGATTGTTTGGGTTTTTGTGATATAAAGCAAAAAAATAAAAAGAATTCGTCACAAATAGTCTACCATCGTTTCATTTTTGTTGTTGTACTCGTATTTAGTTTAGTTTTGACAGCGTTCATTTCATCATTTACCTCAATATCTTCTTTGACAAGTATCATATAATCCGTAAAATTACTATTGAAATGTGCATTGAGCTTGATACAATTAACATGGAATCGAGTATATATATATCGTTTGTTATTGTTACTTAAGTGATATCAACGTCCTTTTTGTGATTAATTTTTTCCCTACATTACTGTTTGTTTTGTTTCCTACTAATTCATTGTTCATTGCATTTCATTGTTTCACACAAATGACATACATATACTTTCGAATTGTGCATGAATATATATATATATATATATATATATATATATATATATATATATATATATATATATATCATGAGTATTCAGCTACGCAATATTCAGATAATTATCTTCTTTGAATAGTTGTGAGACTCTCTGTGTTCCTTCCAGTTATAGTAACACCACTTTTTCTTATATAAAGAGTAACAATCATCAACATAATTAATACTGTGAATTCCGGCTAACTCGCGTCAACTGCACCTTTCATTTCATGTCAATTAGGAAAAAAAAAGAATACTCATCAATACATATTGATTCTCTAAGTGATCTTAGGATGTGTTATGTAACTACCGTATGTATTTGAAATGCCTTATTTATTAAGCATTACGTTTGCCATCCATCTAATCAGTGAGTTATTGTTGCGTAACATAGTCCTCTGATATATTGACTTATCTTTCGAACAATTCATCTTATTTCCATATGTTTTGTTTAAAATAGCATACATGTGAATATATATCACGCACTACACATATTCTCTTGCTCTCTCTCTCTCTCTTCCCCCTATTTATTCCTCTTTCAAATTCATAATGATGTTTGTTTTAAAATATAAAAAGAAATTTCACACAAGGTAAATCATAACCCTCTCTAAATTATTCGATTCGTTTTCAAGTGTTCAGTGTTGAGTATTATTTTTCTAATTTATTAAATTAGAAAATCTGCACAAGTTATATAACAACCACCAAGATAAATACCGAATCGTTCAAGAAAAAAAATTAACTTTCATACGAAATAGTTAAGAGATGAAAAGAGAAAGCAAAAAAAAAAGAAAAGATAAAATGTAGTCTTGATAACTTTCTTTTTATTACGTCACTCTATATTGCACATTGAATTAATACGATTCAAACTAACATAATCGTTTTTCTCATTATATCATTTCAAATTCTTCTCCTTTAAACGTTCATTCAATTAATTTTAATTTCATTATACACAACAGGTATGTCGCTTAATGATTTTATATATGTGTACTAACTAAATGAGAAATGATTAATATTTAGTGTTGAGTTTTTTTTCTTCACTTTACTACTTTAAACTGTCCCATTCTCCATTACTCCTGTTACGTAAACAGCTATGGAAGGTCATAATGTTATACTTTGTATTTGAATAGTAATGGTGCCAGTGTTAAAAGGGCTAATCTCATACAAACTTGTGATCATATGTCAAAATGAAGCATTTCTAGCACATATTTATTGAAATCTTTTCATAAAAAATAATTGTATAAAAATAGGTCAAGTACAGTTTGACTTTATTGACTTCAATTATTATATAACGGTGAAACTTAATCCATCATGTTAACTTATCAGAATGTATGGAATTTTGCAAAAATAACAAATATATTGATATGGTGAGGAAGATTTGTAGCTCAAGTGGATGATTTTGATGGAATTTTGTTCTCATCATCAGCACATACTTCAAGTAGAAGTCTACCTAAAGTTTGTGCTAATGATGTCGTTCAGAAGAACGATGAAATCTCCACGACCAAATCATCCAGCTCATAGAACAAAACTCTATCAATGACGAATATATTTTAAAAATAACTCGTAGTTACTTCCCATTTTATATATACATTAAATATTATATATATTGAAGATATGTGAATATTTAATTGACATCCTAGTTCTCATAATCAATTCGTTAAACCAGTTTTCAGACTTTATTTTTCATTAATACAATAGATAATTAAAAGGGCAAATTTCTACTTACAATGAACTATTTTTTTTGAAGTAACTGTCCAACTTACACTACGGTTAAAAACGACTCTTCAATGTATTGGATTTGTAAATAAAATAGAATTCAAGATAACGACAATAGTTAGTAGTAATATTAAGTAAGAGATAAAAATTCACGGAAAAAATACTCTAGTTCTATTGGATAATTAATAATTTAAAGAAAAAGGAAATATGTTGAATATTTTAGGGAATAGTCAGTTCCTATTGAAGTCAACTTTTAAAATAACAAATCAAATTATTCACTAGGTACTTGGGTATGAGTGAGACTCAGCTCCACCGAAAGAATAATTCGATAGAAATCGATGGATTCTGTGAAGTTGAAAAAAATGTAAAATGATGTCGGTTTGCTCTTAGAAGGTTATCTTTTCGATCTAATTTTATGTCTTGAAGTAAGGCTTATTAGTAGTTTTGAATATGATTACATTATTCGACATGCTACCTGAGGTTAATTATATGAATAGGTTGTGATAGTCAATGACACACCTATATAATGTCTTTAGTGTTTTTTAATTATAATTACATGAAAATATGAAACAATTTATGAATTTTTATTCCTACGTGATTGGAGGTAAACAACAGGAACCGCTTGAGGTTCATTTCGTACAAGTTAACGCTCGTCAACAATACATAACTAGAGTCAGGTGTTAACTCATACCGCTCGTATAAGTTTCAAGTCAGGTGTCAATAGCGTTTCTGTTAACCGACCATTTCTTTAACATATTTACGCTAAGTAGTGTTACCCAATGTCGCCTTTCAGTCTCTGATGTTGATTAAAGTTTATCGACCAGGTTACAAATATGTACACTAGTAAAAGTAAAAATACCTGTTAGTTTAGGCGTTTGTGAAGACTAATGAATTTTCAGGCCTTACATCATGGATTGAAATTAATGAGAAAATCACTGAAAACTGGTAAGCACTAGGCAACTGTGTTGTCTCAACATGGCACTCCTCGACAGTACAGTTCTTAAATCTCAATGTCTATTCGTGGTGGAAACTATGGACATGTATTAATTTTTTCACTATCTTTACCAATTTTACGTCAATTTGAAGTGACGAAACCTGAGATGGGTCGTATAAACAACAGTATTTTATTTCTAACTCATTATCATATATTCTTTAGCCTTTAAACGGAGTGAATTTCTATCTTAGAGAAGATAACCTAATAGAGAAATATTGTAACAGGTGTAAAAATAGCTTTAGTCCTTTAACTGTATATAAAACAAATCAGTTTGAGTAATTTTTAAATCAGTGGAACAAACCATCAAGATTTTATGTTTCATTGAAAGGAAAAAAACACATTCAATTATGAGATGAATCTATCCATTATGGATTATAAAATAGTAATCTTTGCACTAGATATTTACATCCATTCCATACTACTCATAGAATTTTAGTAACAGTTTGAACTAATTTTATAGTTGCATTTGTGAAGTGATCAAATACTTGATTGATAAATGTAGTAAAGGTATTTGATCAAGAAGTAAAAAAATAGATTTAATTGAATGATAATCGTCAGTGCAGAGGAAATGTCTTCGTTGTATCGTGCTTCAATTATTAATATTATTATTATTCTCGTATGATAGAGTTTCCAATGACAACAGTACGTTAAGTAGTTTTTATTTTCAAATCCCTCTAGTAAATCTACCATTAACTGACATAGAATTTCGAATGATGTTATAGGATTTGTTAAAGTTTAGTAGATGAATCTTAACATGAGAAGAATATATTTTCATAAGAATTCACTTCCTTTACTAAATCTGTAATAAATTCATTCTTGTACAATGTAAAAAAAAACATGACGGATTATGATAGAAGTAACGAAAACTCATGAGTTGTTTAGATTTATAGGTAGTATTACTGAACTTGAGTATCTATGTGGAAGTTAACACTGGAATGTAAGTACATCCAACTGACGAATCTTTAATAGGATGAAACTCGTGTTCTGTATTTCACTACCGACTATGCTTATACTTAAATATTGTCATAAATCCTATTCAAATTCACTTTATCAACATTACAATGATAAAATGAGCAGTGAATAGTTATGGTAAACTCCATCATATCATAACCTGTAATTCATTCTTTTCACGACTGACATTGATATATATATATATATATATATATATATATATATATCCAAGAAGAAATATCATAAGCTTAATTATCATATAATGTTTATACTTTCATAATTACGTAAATTTACAAAATGTCATAGAAGAATTGCGAAATTCTCAGCTTTCTTCATATATACCTATTGGATATAAGAAATGGTTACGTAATCGTGTGAATAAGCAAACAACAACCTACTGTTGTTGTGTTTTTTTTCTTCGTATTAAGTATCTATAACATTGAATGGATTTTAAATTTCACAGACATTTAAATTCCAAAAAACAATATTGAATAGTTTCTATGTAAAATAAATTGTATACTGTATAATTTATTGAAACAAAATAAAATTTCATTGGAATTCTCTTGAAATGTTTGTTTTCCAACTCAAATATTGTAGGTTAAAAGTTTTATGTTATTTCAAAACTATCGAAAATTCTCAAGTTAAAACCTGTTAAGTATTTTGTTGTTGTTGCTGGGTAAGATGATTTTTCGCTAAGATCAAACTGTACTATTAGTAGATTAAAAACATTATTGATCCATAAAATTGCAAAATTACAATCAATTCGATTACGTAATGTTTTTTTAATATTGCTGAAGTTTAATATGTAGGTGAAAATTTAAATGAGATTAGCGTATTGAATAAAGAAAATATTTTAACACTGTATATTCTAAGAACATAGATACATGTTAAATTTTTAATCGTTAACCGGAATGTAACAGCAACTCAGTATTTAATGGTGATGTGAACAGAGAAACAAGAAACCTTGACAAAGTACGGGAGCTATTTATCGGGACGTTATTTCATTTAACTCAAAGTTTGTCAAAAAACAGTAATATTTATTTTTGTCCCTAATCTATTCTACAGATTATAAGCTTTCGTTTGATGTATGATTCATTGCCATAGACCTTTTTGTTCCAAAGTTATTGTAATTTAAACGTATTATTTTGTACTCTATTTTTGACGGTAATCTCCAGTTTTGGACATAATTGTATTTTCCTAATTATTGTACGTTGTGGTCGAGTTGGTCATTTATTTATTCATGTATCTTTTTACACTAATCTGAAATCGGGAACCAAATCGGAATTGCGAATAAAATCGAGTAGTATTCCAGTTGACTTGGTTTCTTTCACTTGCGTGCTTGTCAGACAATCAGGTGATAGAATA